AAAGGCGCTAATGAAGATGAAACAGCAAAGAAACGCTAACGAGGGCGCGAAAACTGACAGAAAGGAATAAACACCTAAATTAACGCAAAAAAAGACTAAACAAAAGGACGAAAAGAAGTATAAACTAGGAAAAACAAATTACGCAAGAACGAATAATAGAAAAAAATGTTACACTTGGATCTTACAATTACTATCAAAAAAAATTGATAAAAGTAACAATATATTAAGGAAGTTTACAAATGATGAATATTAAACAGTTTTTTAACACGAATTTCGACATGATTTTAATCATGTTGCTGCAATTCACATCAGCGCCTAAACCATAGCCGACTTCCTTATTATATATCTCTTAAAAGATCTTTGATTCTATTGTTAAAATTCAAAAACGAGGGCAAGTTTAAAAGTAAAGCATTTTACGTCAGCTTCTTTCGCCTTTTCGAGCAACACATTTTTTACCCTGTTAGCGTAGATTGAGAAGTTTCTCAAAATACTCAACCAAGGAACACCTACTATATTTAGTAGCTTTACTGATTGACGTCGATCGAGTTAGTAACGACAATTTAGAACAACAGAAGTTATTTCGCTTAAATCATATTGAGAGATCCTGTATTTTTTTCCCTGATTTATTTTTCCAAAGGTTCCAAGCCTCGGCGTTTCGTCCCACATGGCCCTTTCAAAGAGATACACCGAGGAACAGCTAAACTACTTCAGAATTTGTTATGTAACTACTGATATACTAGCTGAAGGCCTCAGAGAGCTTTTTAAACGTGAGTGGGACAATCAATATAGATCAACACCATTGGGAGAATGGAAAGATGTGGCCCAGAATGGAACGGACTTTTACAACGGCGAGTCTCCAAGAAATCAGAGAAGAAATGCTCATCTTTTGGCCACTATGATAAGTGGAAACAGAGCGGACTGGGATTGCACAATGCTCTTTTATGCCATCCTTTACTCTGATTTTGTCGGGCCCTACCTTGCCTCAACAGTCAGAAACAATGTAGATAACCTTAGAAATTTTAGGAACGAGGAATTCGCCCACATACCACAGGGAAGTTTCCCTGAGATCGATTTTCAGAATGCTATTAGCAAAGTTCATGTTGCGTTCCATGCGCTTGGTCTCTCTACTGTAAAAATCGATGAGATAAAAAATCAGAAAAGTTTCCCAACCGACGAATTAGATAAAATTCTGAAAGAGGTTGACGATCTTAAACAAGAACTTCAAGAAAAGGAGAACCAGCGCCAGGTTCTTGAAGATCAGCTTCAGAAAGAAGCGCCTTCATTCTGTGTTCTTCCTCCTAAACCTACACACGAGATTGAAAGCCGTGAAAGTGAAGTAGCACAAATAGCCCATCAGCTAAGGGAACTAAAGAAGGCCAACGAGAACAGGTTGAGTTATCTGTACATCTCAGGGAATCCAGGAAGTGGCAAATCACAACTAGCTGGCCTCGTCGCTAAAAAAGTCTTTGATGAAGTAAAAGAAATACCAGGCACTTCGTCCTTTGTGATGACCATAAACGCTGCCAGTCAAAATTCACTTTTGGAGTCATATGCCAATTTTGCTCGTCAGTTAAAGTGCCCAGACTTTTCAGTGATACAAACCTTGAGCTCTAAGGATTTGAACATTGAGGACAAGATTGCCAATCTCAAGATGCTTATTGCTGCAAAAATCGGGTGTTACACGTCGTGGCTAATTGTGGTGGACAATGTGACTAAACTGAATTTTGTACATGATCACCTACCACAGTCTGGAACCGAGACGTGGGCAAGAGGTCAGTTATTAATTACAACCCAGGATACAAAGTCCATCCCATTAAAAAGCTCTTTCATCAATCACATTTCAGTAAGCCAAGGAATGAATCCTTACGATGCCACTTCCTTATTGGCCAAGCTTTCTGGGGTCTTCGACAACGAGCTAGCGGAAAACGTTGCCCAGAAATTGGATTATCAGCCACTCGCTTTAGCAGGCGCGGCTGTGTTTGTCAAAGACATTCGGCAGGACAACGCATTAAAGCACTTTGGCTGGGAAGAATACCTAAAGATTTTAGAAAAAGGAAAACGAGAAACGACCGAGGATACCCTTGCTGATACCAACCCAATTTATCCAAATACGATGACTGCAGCAATAACGTTAGCTGTCGACGCACAAGTTAAATCCGACAAGTTTTTTGAACACCTATTCAAATTTCTTTCTCTGTCCGCACCACAACCATTAAACGTTGACATAGCGGTTAGTTACCTTAAAAACGTTCTCGAACACAATGACAAAGAGGACAAGGAACACATTCGCAGGAGATTCAGAAGATGTTCACTGCTTCTTTTAGAGGAAGACGAAGATAGCTGCTACTACATTCGTGTACATCAGGTTGTGCACGACGCAATAAAATGGGTGATGAGTGACTGTACAGAGAATCAAACCATCAAGGTTGTAAGAGAAGCTTTTACATCATTTAACAAATTTATAGTCACAATTCCACACGAAAATAGAACAATGGAGACCATGCACATCATTCCGCACCTACGTGCCCTAATTGTACCAATTAATAAAGTAATTATGGAAAAAAATATGTCTCAAGTCCATGTTCAGGACATTTCTGAAAAATTGTCGAATCTTGGCGACATATGTAAAATACACTGTGAATTTAACGTGGCAAAGACATACTTGGAAAACTCTCTCGCTGTTCGCATCTGGCTTTTGGGTGACCAAAATGTCGATGTTGCATCCGGGTACAATGACTTAGCTATAATTCACCACGACTTAAGTGACCTTGAACAAGCAAAGGAGTATCAGCAACGTTGTTTAGCCATCCAACTCAAGAAGCTTGGTGCTGAACATGTTTCTGTTGCAACAAGCTACGGTAACCTAGCTTCAATTCACAAGGCCTTAGGTGCCTTTGAACAAGCAAAGGAGTATCAGCAACGTGGTTTAGCCATCAAACTCAAGAAGCTTGGTGCTGAACATGTTTCTGTTGCAACAAGCTACGGTAACCTAGCTTCAATTCACAAGGCCTTAGGTGACCTTGAACAAGCAAAGGAGTATCAGCAACGTGGTTTAGCCATCGAACTCAAGAAGCTTGGTGCTGAACATGTTTCTGTTGCAACAAGCTACGGTAACCTAGCTTCAATTCACCAGGACTTAGGTGACCTTGAACAAGCAAAGGAGTATCAGCAACGTGGTTTAGCCATCTTTCTCAAGAAGCTTGGTGCTGAACATGTTTCTGTTGCAACAAGCTACAGTAACCTAGCTTTAATTCACCACGACTTAGGTGACCTTGAACAAGCAAAGGAGTATCAGCAACGTGGTTTAGCCATCTTTCTCAAGAAGCTTGGTGCTGAACATGTTTCTGTTGCAACAAGCTACGGTAACCTAGCTTCAATTCACCACGACTTAGGTGCCTTTGAACAAGCAAAGGAGTATCAGCAACGTGGTTTAGCCATCGAACTCAAGAAGCTTGGTGCTGAACATGTTTCTGTTGCAACAAGCTACGGTAACCTAGCTTCAATTCACAAGGCCTTAGGTGCCTTTGAACAAGCAAAGGAGTATCAGCAACGTGGTTTAGCCATCCAACTCAAGAAGCTTGGTGCTGAACATGTTTCTGTTGCAACAAGCTACGGTAACCTAGCTTCAATTCACCAGGACTTAGGTGACCTTGAACAAGCAAAGGAGTATCAGCAACGTGGTTTAGCCATCCAACTCAAGAAGCTTGGTGCTGAACATGTTTCTGTTGCAACAAGCTACGGTAACCTAGCTTCAATTCACCAGGACTTAGGTGACCTTGAACAAGCAAAGGAGTATCAGCAACGTGGTTTAGCCATCCAACTCAAGAAGCTTGGTGCTGAACATGTTTCTGTTGCAACAAGCTACGGTAACCTAGCTTCAATTCACAAGGCCTTAGGTGACCTTGAACAAGCAAAGCAGTATCAGCAACGTGGTTTAGCCATCGAACTCAAGAAGCTTGGTGCTGAACGTGTTTCTGTTGCAACAAGCTACGGTAACCTAGCTTCAATTCACCACGACTTAGGTGACCTTGAACAAGCAAAGGAGTATCAGCAACGTGGTTTAGCCATCCAACTCAAGAAGCTTGGTGCTGAACATGTTTCTGTTGCAACAAGCTACGGTAACCTAGCTTCAATTTACCAGGACTTAGGTGACCTTGAACAAGCAAAGGAGTATCAGCAACTTGCTTCAGCCATCCGACTCAAGAAGCGTTTCTAACTGTTGGTGGTCGAACCCTGGAGGGGAAAAAGGTTAGCTAGGTACAGGAAGTGGGAACTGGGGGCCGTTTCTTGAAACTGTCCCGGTAACTTTTTTTTATTATAAAGAATAGGAGCGCGGGTATTTGGTAGCAAACTACTCCATTTTGTTTCATTTTAAAACTGATAGTTTTATCATCATATATGCAAAACTATTGAAACCTCGATCTTTAATGTAAACGGAAACAGCTTACCGAACAGAAAGACAGGCAACAACTTTTTGTGTGAGCACATATACGACATTTCTTCCATAAAACGTGTAACTAGTAAGTTTTATGTTGTAGTTGTGCAACAACAAAAGGAAAGAAATGTATAAAAAAGTGTGCTGCACAATTAGACCTTCTGATTTATTTTTGCCGTTTTCCTTGTCGTCGACGTTTAGCATTGCACGATTTTTTTGTGGAGTAAATCATAAGTATATTAACGAGAGTTTCGCTTTTAGCCCTGGCTTAATCTCTATATTATACCCTCAGATGTGGGTTTTCGGTTGAGGCCCTGTCCACATCAACCCGTCTTGGACTCCCACAGGTGCATTTCAGCGTATTGGTTTTTGGCACTAAGCCATCAGAAACGTCTTTCTCCCGATATGTTGCTGCTCCCAGGCATTTCTCGGACATGTGTACTTCTCACTAATAGATGTCTTCATAGATGTCTTTAATAAATTCAAAAGATAAAAATAGGTATCTTAAGTTACAAGACAAAAATAGTTATTCAGGTAAAAAAAAAGTTAAGAGCTCTTAGAACAATTACTCAACTATTAACATGAAGGAATTAATATCGTAGCTAAAGATAAGTCTATTCACATAGGACGATTTGACGCGCTCTGTTGCCAGTATAGCGGGATGATGAAAGTATGGTTTTCTTAGCGCGGTGTAATTGGTGAAATTCCTTTCTGGTAAAACCTTCACAAGGGGCGAATTTGTTCTCAATGCCTTTCTAAAAATAGGGCAATCTGATCTTTCAAACAGCTCCCTTATATTCAATTTCCTCGATATGTACCTGCCTTTATAGCACCTATCTAAAAAATGATGTACGTTGTTAAGATTAGGGGTCAATTCAGTAAAACGTTTACAAGTGTAATTTACAAGCGTGGCCATTGTTTTAGAGTCTGGTAAAAGTTTTATTAAGCGACGGACCATTAGAAAAGTTATGGGGGGGGAAGGGGAATTTTCGAGCTGCGGGAATTTTTCTTCGTTATCAAATTCCTTGTATGAATTTTTTTTTAGGCCATAGCATGAATATTTGTTAGGATTAATTGGCGTGCATGATTTTTTTTTCATTTAATTTTCCCTTGCGCGAATATTTTTTTTGGCACTTCTACCCCCCACCCACCCGATATGCTTTTTTATGGTCCGTCCCTAAATTGACCCCAGAAGAGGAGGCTCCGTACAGATCGTTTTCACTGTCACGCAACAAAAAATTAAATTGGAAACCGTCCAGTGGAAGAAGCCAAGAAAATGACATGCTATAAAAGACTAATATATAAACAGTTTATCCAAGTCTCAGGTCTTTGTGGCCCACAGTTTCTGAGTGATTTGCCGAAACGTTTCGCACACCTTTGTAGAGCTTTGTATGGAGATGCCATATTGACCGCCGGAAATCAACAAAAACATCTGGAGTTCACTTTTTCTATAAAAGCTATTTCTTTTCACTCGAGAACTAGCATACGTACGCATAAACATATCTTCTAATACTTGACGTAGTTATACTGCTGAAAATCAAGAGGAGAGACTTTTTTTCAACAAGACAGCATTCCTATTTGGGTGTCACGCAATGTGAAAACTCGGAAGTTCAAATTGCTGTATTTTCGAAACGAAACATGCCACGAAAATGGAAACGTATACAAAGATTTACTTTTTGTTTATCTTCAACCTAGTGTAAATAAGAATTCGTAAACTATTTTGACTTTACAATTTGATGACGTCACAGTGGAAACCATTTATACCGATAAATCGTACAAAAAATTAGGCATAACAATTGATTGAAACAGATAATCCAGCTCCTCCTGATTGTACCCCTCTTGCCGAAGAGTTCATATTACGTGCAAGCATTTGTTAGCCTTAACAAGCTTTTCACGCAAGTGACTAGTGTTTATTGTTCTGGAATATCACACCTAATAGTTTAAGCTCGCTGCATTGTTATTGATTTTACACAGTTAATAAACCCTTTTTTTACGCATAGTGAGTTCTTTGCACTTTCCTGGATTACATGACATGGGGGTTTCTTCAGACCAGCGTAAAAAATTGTTAACCACCTCTTGTCACTGATCAACTCCATCTTTCCACAAAGGGATTACAATATTCGAGTCATCGGCATATTTAAAAAGTATATCAACACCTTCTAACTGAATATTGAGATCATTCAGGAAAACATTGAATAAATCAGGCCCGTTGACGGACCCTCGGGTCGTACCCTTATTGACATCTTTCCATTCTCCGACAAAGCTGTCATTTTTTACAACACTTTGTTGCCTATCAAAAAGAAAACTAAGATACCAATTCTGAATATAAGGATTGAGAGCAAGACTTTTAAGCTTATCAGCGAGTAAGACGTGCTTCACCATATCGAAGGCCATACTAAAGTCCATATGGAAGAGTCTAACCCCTCTACAAGCACGAGCTGGTTAGCTCAGTTGGGAGAGCGCCGGTCTACTGAGCGGGAGGTCGCGGGTTCAAACCCCGGCCGGACCAACACTCAGGGTCTTTAAATAACTGAGGAGAAAGTGCTGCCTTTGTAATAATATCTGCAAACGGCTAGACTTTCTAGTCTTCTCGGATAAGGACGATAAACCGTAGGCCCCGTCTCACAAGCCCTTGCACATGTATTAAATCTGTGGGACGTTAAAGAACCCACACACTCTTCGTAAAGAGTAGGGCACGTAGTGCCCGGTGTAGTGGCCTATCTCACTTTCACACTCATGTATGGGGGCATCATTACTCATTCCTTCACTACTTGTAAACTGCACCTTAAGCAGTCTGGCAAAGTCCCCCAACCAGTGTTGTAAATTATCCCTGAAAAGCCCTGAGGGGAGTGGATAATAAGATATTTACAATTTACAGAACCCTGTGCTGAATAGTCAATAAAGCAAGTCATACTGCGCTTGCGTCAACAGCGCCAGCGGTATTCTCGTTAATTCCCAGCCAACATATCCCGCATGATAAGCTACGAAGTTAAGGCTTTCGATGGCTTTTTTATTGCTCTTCTGTTTGGCTTTTCTGGCTTTTTCTGGCTTTTCTATTGCTCTTCTGTTTGGAGCAATACTACTCAAACTAATCTGGACAAGCTCCAAGCAGTACAGAATTTCGCTTGTCGTATTTTGAGCGGCGCTAAAAAATTCGATCACATAACTCCTTTGCTAAAAGACTTGCGCTGGCTACCAATCAGGCAACAACTTTATTTTCGTTTTGCTGTTCTGGTTTTTAAGTGCATGACGAGTTGTGCTCCGGAGTATTTGACATCAAAGCTCGTTGGAAGATCCGCCGTCTCGACAAGGAATACGAGAATTTCTCAACTTTTGAACATACCACTCTTCCGCACTGCCAGCGGCCAAAGGACCTTTCAATATAGAGCAACCTCTCTCTGGAATGAGTTGCAGCCTGCGCTCAAACTTAGCCCATCCGTGACGGAGTTCAAGTGTTTACTCAGGCAAAAGCTTCTTAATGACTGCTTTATTTAATTAATTTAATTAATTTTATTGACCTTTGTCTTCTTTTATCATTGTTATATTCTTATTGTCATGTACTTGGTTTATAATTTTGTAATGTAAAATTGACTCTGAAAAGCCCCGTGGGGACGAGCCAATAAAGTATGTATGTATGTAAAGCAGGGCCAAAATGCACAAAAGTATTCGTTTCAAACGAAAAGGCATTAGTGTGGACGAGTTCTCAGTGTGGAATAGTCGAAAAGGCTGCATGGGAAAGGAGCTTTTGATGGATTTGTTAACAAAAACGAATTACTGAATTACCTTATTATAGGAAATTAACGCTCCATGAAATTAAGGTATTGGAAATTAACGCGACTTAAATTAACCCAAATTTAATGGAAAACGACTTTCGAATAAAGAAAATTAACGCGAAAGAGGAGGTAGAAATTCATAATAAAGGAAATTAACGCGATTAATTACGCGAAATCAAAGGACAAGATATTGACATCACTTCTGATATCGACAACGATGAAGATGAACTCGAAATAGTGTAAACCTTCGCCCTCGCTTTTGTGAAAGATGAAAGATAAATGGTAAATGGAAAGAAAGAAAGCTTGTAGTTAATGTTTTTTAGGTGTCAAGAATGTCTGGACAGGTTCCAAAATTGGGGTTAAGATACTGGAAATTAAGAGCGCGGAAATTATCGCTGCACTTAATTAACGTCGCGGAAATTAACGCTCAACAAAATTAACGCGAATTTCAACGATTCGCGTTAATTTCATGGAGCGTTAATTTCCTATATTAAGGTAGTGTGGAGACAACCTAAGATCCAGATACAAAAAAGAGAGTAAAGTTTGTTGCTATATTCCCATTTTATTTCAGTCATTTTCACTATCCGATTAAATTCAGGCATAGGTTTAAGCAATATAGTGAGGGTAACAGATCGCAAAGTAATCTCTCAGCGCTAAAAATTCACGTTCCGACGGTTATACAAAAATAGCTAATAATTCTTTCCTTAGAGGAATCATTACTAAATGGATAGATACTAGATATATCATTTATGCAAAAGCATCTTGTTTCAATAGAAAGTCAAAGGGATTGCAAAATCCATTTCTAATTCTATCGTTTATTTTTCAAACTATTTTCATATAAGAATGTATTTTTATTTGAATTGTAAACATTATGACTAAAAGAATTAATTTTTACCAATTAAGAGTTATGGCAGTAGCTATATCATAAATCCTAAGGTAAAGTGCAGGCTTCTTTAACTAACTCTTTCACTCCAGAACGAACGGAATCCTATGAGGTGGTCTAACTTTTGAGTCTGTGGACCAAATCCGTTAATGTGACCATTCAAATTAAACCTCTTTGGCAGTGCTCTTACGTTGTACTACTTGTTTCTCCGAATTTTATAAAATGAAATTTGGAATTTCTGTCCAATTTAGACTTTGGCCTTTTCTGTGAGTGAAAGAGTTAACGCAACCATTAAGGCGGTGGTTTAGGATGACAGAAAACGGTTAAGCTGTTAGAAAGAAATATTAATTCAAAATTAAATAACACGTTTGTAAATAAAGAGTACGATCTCACGCAATGCTTTGGAATGCTACTTTCTTGCCCAAAAAAAGACTATAAAAATCCCTTTTACATAGAGAAAAATGTTAATGAACGATACGCTTGTCTACTAAACGGTCCCAGGTCACCAGGTATGGACCTTGTCTTACAGTATTAAATCAGCCCAAAGCCCATTTCTTCCAGGAAAGCTCCCGGATGAGATGGTTGGCCCCAAGCCCCAGACTACTGAGACTGTGTTCTAAGGGAACAAACCAGTGCCGGATCCAGACTTTGAGATAAGGGGGGCCTGGTCATCTAGACCCAGGGGGAGTGACCGGTCTCCAAAACATTTTTTTCGGCCTTTCGGGCCTCAATTTGATCTCCCCTGGATCTGCGACTGCAAACAATTTAGGAGTTTACGCCACGACGACGGCGACGGCTACGAAAACGTCTCTTAAAAAGTGAATTTGCGCTGCCTCAAACTTAATCGCCCTTATCCCATCACGTTTAATTCGTCAAATGTTGGCAAATTTTCTTGTAGTTGAATTCTAAAGGACTGCAACAAAGAAAGTTGTTGTCTTTTGCTCCCGTCCTCGACAAAACGTGAAATTAGTATAGGTAGTTTCATGCAACGACGACAGAAAAATGTACAAAAAAGCGTGATGCACGTGCAAATTTGTTGTTTTACTAGTCTAAAGGTGATGTTACGCGAGACGATTCGCAACGACGATTTTTAGCTCAACACACCCTTGCTATGTTGGAACAATGTTGCACCTATTCGAAACAATATCACAACAATGTTGCAACGCTGTGTTGCGCTAAAAATCGTGGTTGCGAATCGTCTCGTGTAACATCACCTTAAACCTATTGCTTTTTTGCTGTTCTCGTTGCCGTCGCCGTCGTCGTCGCGTAAACTCCTTATTAGTGAACTTACGCAACAGGACGGGAGAGGAAAGAAGACAGCAAACCTTGTGTGACAACCGTGACAACAATTTTGTTTGAAATAACTTTTCGCTAAACATCACTTTCCTTTAAACAGATCTTTTTGTAAAAACCACAAAACATTAATCCTAAGTGAAGATCACGACATAACATGCAAGTTATAGCCCTGTCACGTTTGTCACGCAGAAACATTTTGCTGTCCTCTTTTTCCTGCCGTCCTGTTTCGTAAACTCACTAATAACACCACTAAGACGTGGTCAAATCATGTTAAAACTAGACCCAGCTAGTCGTCACCTTTCGAACACGAACATCTCTTAAACGCTTCTTCTGTGAGGAAGCAATCTTTCTATTAAGGACTGAAAATAAGCCAAACACCTTTTTATGTTTAAGACCCCTAAGTTAGTTACTTGTTTAAGATGGGAAAGGCGTAACACAGATACTACTCAGGGGTTGTGACTCGGGGGCTCTTGCTTGTAGTACGTAAATACCCTTACACGAACACAGACAGAAGCCAGTATTGAGCAGTGCGCTCCCTAGGGTACTTACTACCTGACCGTGGCATGTAAGCCACCTTTTTTAGCGCACCGGAGAAATGTACGGTTTGAATCTGATAAAAAAAGGCGCGAATATAAAAAGCGCAAGATTTGAACGCAAAGAAGGGTAAATGGTAAGCGACAGTTTGTTTTGTCCATACCAACCGGAATGATTGGACTACCTCAAAACGAAGTCCTAAATCAGTTTTCGGTTGGAATTTACGAGAAAACGACCTTAGCATTAACCTTCGATCCAAACTTTTCGGATTTTTGGCTTGGTGGCAAGCGCTTCTGTTATCCGGTATCTGCTCAATACAGGTTTGTTCAAAAAATGTATATCATAAGAAAGGGTTTTGGACTTACTAAATACAGCGCGACCATTTAATACTTTCTTAACAAAAAGTCTAGAAAAATCTTCAAATTAGTCTCTATTTATACTATAAAACTCTGTTTTTCAATTTTTGGTTCCTTTGCTTTCAAATAAGGATTTCATGGCTGTAGTTCGCTGTTGCCGCTTTTCCTGAAACAGAATAAACAGAGAAATAACTTTACCGACTTAATGTTACAGTTAAGGTTCACGTTGTAAACAATTTTATCATTTTTCAAATTTCGTTCTGTATAAACCCTTGATCAGTCAAAACGACAAAACCGAGGTGTGGTGTTTGTCATTTTAGCATATTAGTCATCTTAAACATTTTAACTTGCTTTTAAAAGCGGCATCCTTGTCTGTGTTTGCTTGCTGGATAACGCAATTGATTTCCGCAATACTAATCCACTGGACAGCATATAATATTATTCAGTGGAGAACGTTATACGCCTTGAACAACTAGGATCTATACACTGGCAACGACTTGGTTTACCCTCTCAACAACCTGAAGGAGGAAATGAGCTTGTTGCTCTAGTTCACGGAAAGAAACTATTATAGGGCAAGCAAGAACGGTTCCGTATCTAAAAGCGTCTGCTTGCAATTTAAAGTAAACAGTTTTCAACATACATCGATTTTTTTTGAACTATCGATTATATCGGCTTGAAATAGTGTTTTAATTTTCGATTTCGTAAGTGAAAATAATCCAAGAGCAACTTCTTCATCAGTCTGTCTTTGTCCAATACTGAGGGGTGAGGTTTAAACGTGTCTCCGAAACTAACCTTCTCTTCTTTTTCTTTCCTCTTCCTTTCCATTTCTTGTTCCTTCTTCTTCTGAAAACGAAAGGGTAACGAAAAACGTTAACCACACGTTCAAACAAATAAAACTGATTGCAACCACAGTAGATAAAAAAAACAACAACAACAGTAACAACAACGGAACATTCACTTTCCACGTACCTGTTTAATAAACTGATTCTCTTCCTCTTTCTGTCGTCTTTCTAACAAAACTCTTTCTCTTTCCTTCTGAAGTTCCTCTTCCCTTCGTCTCTCCTCCTCTTTTTCCAGCTGCCAAAGAAATGGAAAAACAAGGAAAATTAGTTTCCAAGCGAAATATACGGCATAAAAACAACAAACAGAGTTGAGGGAAACTCAAGCATGAGAATATGAGATAGACAGTAAGGCCGTTTATACGAGGAAAAACAAGACGCGCCCTAAATACGACGCAGACTGTACCGTATAACCGGCACATTTCGTCTGAAGTAAGACGCGTCTTATTTCAAACGAAATGTGCCGTTTGTACGGTAAAGTTTGCATCTTATGTAAGATGCGCCGTATTTCTCTTCATATAAATGGTCCTAGTATATCTTCTCTGGTTAACATTCAAAGAGTTCTCTCGGAAGATGAATTCCCTACTGTCATCAGTTACAGGTTTTTCCTCAATTGAGTCTGGTTTCATATTTCCCGCTTCATACCAGGTTTTCCTGAGTAAGACGGGTTACATGACTTCCTGTGCTTTGCAGAAAAAAACAATAGTTCCTTCCACGGAGGCTACCGAGTTGGACAAGTTGCACGTGTTCTTAGGTTTGGTACCTAACGCATGTTTTTCCCGCCTTTGTCACTCATTGCAAGTTTCCCGCCATTCGTACACGTTGAATGTTTTACAACGCTTGGTACTATGGTATGTTTTCCCGCGCTCAGGATTTGCTACATCTTTTCGCGTCCTTTGCATCAGTTACATGTTTTCCCTCGAAAACGACCCCTTTGTTCACTTTTACATTACATTAATATATTCTTCTTGGGTAGAACTACAAACTACTTACCTCGATCACACTTTTTCTTTTGTTCACTTGGCTCCTAAAGCAAATCAATGAGAAGACAAAAAAGGTGTCAGGGAAACATCTAACCAATGCGTGCAGGAAAGAAGGCTGCGGCACTAATTCATGAGAAAACAAAACTCTCCCATAGAAGCCAAACTTGAGGCAAATGAAAACAAATCATGAAGAGAAATACACCAGAGCACATCAGTTATTTAATGATCCGGCCGGGAATCGAACTCACGCCTACACTTTACTGTCTAGTACTCAATCAATTGAGTAAATCAGTTGGCAAAATTAAAGCAAATAATGTAATTTGGAGACTAAGCAGCTGCCTTACTTTGCCTCCTTTCCGTCTGGTACTGACTGTAACACTGTCTCCCAATGGGCTGCCATCGAATGAGTCAGCGAGTCTCGGTTTGATGACGAGGATTGAGGCTTTTTGACCTGTTGGAGGCAAATTTACCCAATCAAAGTCACTACTGACCAAATTAAGAGAACGTTGAAGCCTGGAATAGAAACTAAAAAATCGAAAAAAATGCCACACGCTTTCAAAATTGGCAAAACCTTGCACTAGACGTTAAGTTCAATCTGAGATTTGTACAAGCAGTGATTTCATAGCTGGTAAATTACACCATTTTTGAAGAACTCCGTGACATAATTAGAACTGTACAAGTACATGTAAAGGTGGGTCAAACGATATAAAAGGGCAGTCTTCTTGCGATAATCAGTAGACTGCCATACTTGGTGAAAACAGGAAGGAGGATTTTCTACATTCATGTTTACTTCAAGTAACCTTAGGGAGCTTGCGTTTTTATTGACCGAAACTAAATTAAGGTCCATTATAAAGCAAAAACTAGAACTTGGCAAATATTTGGCCATCTTGACCTCAGGCTCGATCAATACCGCATACTTATTATACAGCTGAATTTGCGAGCGGGCAGCATGAAGCGAATCGTGCGTTTTGATTGGCTACCCGAGTGGGCAAGATGAGACCGTCCTACACTCCCGGGTTTCTTATGCGTTGGTCCCGCAAGAAAAAGTTCTCTTTTTGTTCATATAGTAAATCCTTTAATGACCAAGCTCTTTCGGTCAAGGTGGCTGAATGTTGGCCTCGTTCTTTTTTACGTTTTTATTGACCGAGACGATGGATATTCAGCCATTTTGTTGACCTCAGACTTGGTCAATAACGCATAATTATTATATAACTACCTGAATTTTGTTAGGAAGAGGATTTCTCTTGATGTCTTTTAAACTCATCTCCTTCTTGCCCGCAGACACCTCAACGGTTTTCTTTTTCTCTTCTTCTAGTCGATGACGCTTTTCTCTCTCCAAGACTTCTTGCTTTACGATCTCTTCCCGCAAACGCTGTTCCTCAAGTTCTTTCTGTATTCTAGAGTCAGAGAACGACGGTACCCCGTCCACGGAATCGGTCTGGTCTGGGGTGAAAGAAACTCTCCTTAACACTGGATAAGAACGAGCTTCATCATTTTTTGCGCCTTTTTTAAACGACAAATCACCTACACTTTTAGCTTTGCTTAGCTTGCCTTCACTAGCTTGCTCTCCACCTGTATTCACATCTGCTTGAGACTTAAGTCTTCCTACAAAGACGTCATCGACGGCCTCCATAGTTACGCGGTCTTTTCCCAACGATGTATCCTCCAAAGAGTTTATCCCACGTCGAGTGTGGTGAAGATTAAGAGAGTACCGCTTCTTTCGCAATTCCTCCTTAGAGTCTTTTCTCACTCCATTTTTCTCAAAATTAGCTTTTCTAAGCGTTACTCCTCCACTGCTAAATTCATCTCTTTCCGAACCGAGAGAGCCGCCTTGCTCAAACGCTTCAGACGGGCGATCAAAGCTGGACGCGCGCCGCTTAGGAACAGTACTTTCTTGTTTACTCTCTTCCAGTGCTTTCAAAACACGCTGTTCAAGAATCAACTTGTGCGCTGCGAACGCCGTTTTCCTTGACGTCGCATCATTCTCATACCTCTTTAGCGTTTCCGTGTGGTCTTTTTGACGTTCCTCAGCGAGTTTGCGTTCGGTTTCCCTCTGCTTCTTCTTTTCTTCTTCTTTCGCAAGCTTAACGCGGAGCATCTCTTCAGCTTCTTTAAGATCTACTTCTTTCCTGATTCTTTCAAGATCTTGCCTTTGCGCTTCCCTGCGTCTTTTCTCTTCCTCTTGCTCCAGCCTAAAAAGTTCCTTCTCCTCCCTTCTTTTTCTCTCCTCTTCCGTTTCCAAACCGTTTACCTCTGGCCCCGAACCGTTTGCTACTGGCTGGCGAAACGCATCGATCTCGTCAACAGGCGAAGACTCGACAACTGTTGACTTTGCTTGCTGAACAACAGTTTCTTCTCCATTACGCGTCTGAAATCCTGAGGTTTTACCAGTCAATCCACCTGAGACAGGATTTTTGGGCCCTTGACCGGTTGCTTTAAAAGCTTCACTTTTCTTTTCAAACTTTTTAGTCTGCTTCTTCACGCTGGGGACTTTCGCAGCAACAGCATTTGACTCGGCTAATTCTCTTGAATGCTGGTCTTTCGATTTTATCTCCTCGCTCTTGCTTTCAGGCCCTTTAACACTGCGTTGGTTTGCAGACTGAACCCGTCTTGCGATTTCAGCCTCTCTCCTCGCCTCTTCTTCTCTTTCCCTCTGTCTTTCTATTTCCAGCTCCACAATACTCTTCCGGTATTCAGAATTTCTACCCGTAGCTGGTTTTGCTCCATCCTTTGGTCTACGAATAACGGGCTGATGTTGCGGTTGGGATTGTACCTGGGGCTGTGATTGGGGAGGGGCAGGACGTGGTACGAAGACAGGTTCCTGAAGGGGCCTATTCTCTATCGCCCCTTTTATTGGACCACTAACACCCTCTTCTCCGCTCAGATCAATTACGCTTCCTCTCTTTGAGGAAAACCGAACGCCTTGAAAATTACCCCCGTCCGGTGCGTCTAATTTCTCATCAAAGATCGCTGTTTGGATTTGGCCTTTTGTTTGAAAAGCCGAGGGATGCTCTTCCTTTTTCGCGTTTATTAGTTTCTGTTTCTCAATCTCCAATCTTTCTTTTTCTTTAATTTTCTCTATCTCAATACGAGTTAATTCCTCTCGCATTCTTTGTTGTTCTAACTCTTCTTCAATAATCCTTCCTGCCTCCGATCTGGAGAGCGGAGCCTTCTTTTGTCCCTCTCCTTCCTGCGCGAGCGACATTTGTTGCTCCAGCCTCTTCCTTTCCTCTTGAAACGTGTTTTTTCTTTGCTCTGCAGCTTTCCTGCTTTCTTCCTCCTGTTTATAAACTTCTTGGCGTGCTTTCTTCAGCATTTCCTCATCTATTTCCCGCTGCTTTGCCCTTTCTTCCTCCTTTCTTTTTTTCTCTTCCATCAAGACGGGAATCAGCGCTTCCTGTGTCAAACCACTCGGCAAGCGCGGCGATTGAGCATCAGAAGTGGATCTGCTAGGCAAAAATAAAAGAATCTAAATTTAGCATAATTTTTTTCGCTTTTTAACAGACGATAAACAATTCATCCCATGTAAAAGTACTACACAGTAGGTTCTATTTGAACGGTCAGACTATGATTTCACTCACAGACTCTACAGTTAGGACTGCATTTAACAGGAAAGTAAACAGCACCACTTGAGAAAGCTGCTCGGTAGTTTTAATTTAATTATTATTTGATTATTCCCTTTGGGAATAAATGGACAACCTTATTAAAAAGGTAAGACCTCATATAGCGTAGTAAAGAGTATCACAGGAAAGTGCTGCTCAGTAGCTTTCATTCGAATGGCCACAGTTTAGGATTTCATCAACAAACACAAAGGCAATACCACAGGAATACCACAAACAGTACTGCTCAGTAGCTTTCATTCGAAGAGTTACAGTTAAGAATTACCACAGCATCACACCCGCTTAAAGAGAAGAGCTAAACAAAGATGACGATGGTGATGATGATGATGATGATGATGATGATGATGATGACGATAACCAATAATGACAACCGACGGTTCAAAAAGATGGCCGTAACTGTACCTTGTGTGGTTGCCAAACGATGCACCGTCTTCTTCCAAGTTCAATAATAAGCCGTCCATTTTATTTGAAGCCGCCGAAGACTGGACAGTGGGTGCCGTGGACACCTGTACCGCCTCGTCCACGGCACCGCAAGAACCGTTCATCGAACTAAGCAGGAGTTTGTCCTTTTCAGTGGTCGCGGGAGGTTCACTATAAGGGTCTACTTTGGGTTCCAGTTGAAGCGATCCAGATTTTTCGTCATCCGTTCTGTTTTCGTACATTGTTTTCTTGTCACCAAAGCTACGTTTGGGCGGAGGCTTGATATGGTTTTCGGTTTCTGGGTGAAAGGTTCCGTTAGTAGCAGGCTGAGATGGACTAGAGCCAATCACTGACGAATTAATGTCCTATTAAACAGAAAAAAAAAACTCTTTTAAAAACAAAACGTTGTTCCCCACGAGGAAAATGCAATGTATTTCTTTGAAACTGCTCTCATATCAGGTGAATCATGCTTTGCAGAAAGCAAGACTTAACTACAAGCAGTTCAGCTTTTACAGCTGGATTTCAGTTTCTAAGGCCAATTCAGTGGTTTCGTGAGGACGATTCGATTCCTGAAAAAAGATACATGTGTATGTGGTTTCAAGAATATCCGGATTCTTGTCTTCGCGGCCAAAAACATTTCCGTTGGTCGAGCGCCGTGGTGGATTAAAATTCACTTTGGGGTGATAGAGCGAATGACGAGACAAGACCCCTTAGCTATTTGTGGGTGAAACTCTTCAGTGGTTCACGGCAATATTACAGGTGTCGGCGATGTTGAGTAACACTAGAACCGTTCACTTTTGCAATTACTTACGCAAATACAGACCCACACAGCGAAATAGATATTCATTAAGAGGTTTCTCAGAGTCACAGCCGCCTTGTGTAAACGAACACAGATACTTTTCTATTTTTGCTGATCTTTAATACGGACAACGAAAAGACAAACTCTGATATATCTGATATATACACGCACATGACAGCATTGTGTACAGTCGCTGGGAGTAAAAACCATGTAAAACTGTAAACTACAATGTTTCAGTATTGTATTGTCGGTGTTCTTTCGCATAAAGACTAAAACACGCTTTCATTTTAGTCGTTTCGGAAAGCAATAAAGAGTTTTCTAATGGAAAATTCACTAACGAACCTAAAACTAATTTTCTATCGCACTAGATCGCTCTTTGATGAGAAAAACCAATTTTCGGAGAGAAAAACAATTTACACAGTTTACACAGTGGAGGTTGTAGCGAAACGACTTTGCAGCGACAGCCGTAAAATCATTAAGAACTCAGGCGTACTTAAATGGGGCAGACGATAGATTTAAACAAGATCGGCCTTGTCCAAAACAGAAAATCCGTTCATGAGAGATTACAAGCCGAAAAGTGACAAGTGAGGTAAAAAATACGATGTTGACATTCAAACGAGTTAGTTTACATAATTTTCATAAGCTGCTGGGAACAAAGTCTTTCTCAGTTTTGCTTTCCTACATTATACTGTAAACTCACCTTGTCAGCATGTTTCAAGTGTTTTTTGTTCAATTCTTTATCGCCGCTTTCTTCGACTTCCAATTCCTGTTTAGTTAACGCCGTATCTTCAGTTTGCTTTTTATAAAATTTTTCGTCGTTGTCAATTTTAGAGTACACAAACTGGGATTTATACGCTTCTACGCTGTTGTTGTTCCCATCATTCGCTGGATGAGACAGTGACGACGGCGGAACAGCGCTTGAAGACTCCTGTGACTGTGTTAACTCGATGACTGTTCGACCAAACTGGTCTTGTGTGATATTCTGATAGATAACTGGCGCCGATGATGGCTCTTCGCATATAGAAGCTCCAAAATCTGTTTACATAACACATGTAACGCAACATTAGTCATTCATCCCTTAGACGAACAAAAGCGTAACAAACTAGGCGTTAAAACTATCATACTTTTCAACTCTTTAACATTCATTTTCTCCAGGATTTAATCAAAAGTTAGATCCACTTTGTACAGTATAACAATAAGCAGCAGCGGTAAGTACTGCCCACTTAACGATATCTAGGTGATTACACCATGCGATTTCAGTCGTCGACAAACTCAAAAGTTGGAACCTTCTAGTACAGCATAATAAACAGTTTCAAAGAACAATACTGCTCATTAGCTTTTATTTGACAATTTTGAATGGTCACACTTTAAGATTTTATCCACGGACTCAAAAGTTCGAATCCCCCAGTACAACATAATATATACAGTACCACAGGAAAGTAATGCTCAGTACCTTTCACTTAAATGTTCACTCTGGTATCCACGGAGAGCCAGTTTCGTACACTAGTCATGATTAACAGCAGCACTAAAAAGTACTACTCATTGATCTTTATAAAAATAGTAACATCATTGGATTTCTCGACCGAGTATGATGTACTTCTTTGAAAAATCGCTTGAAAAATACTTAACGATGTATGTTGCGATGCTTAGCTAACATAAAAAGGAAAATTACATTGAGAAACTTGAATTCTTCAGGACCCCAAAAAGTTGAAAATACTTGTCAAATAAAAGTGTCGTTAGGTTATGTTTCAGACGAAACTGAAACAAGTCACAACAGAGTAACGTAAACCTCGGGAGATATCCTGTTTCGTATTTGGAAGCGAAGAGTATGAATTAATAGTGCAAGTGAAGGTAAAAAATTCCCGTGAATTGAAGCGAGACGTTTCTCAGAATATTTCAAGCAATTCCTGGAACTCAGTTCTTTAAAGCTCTGAGCTCAAAAGCCTAAAAAAAATCAACGAGACCTCATTAACCCTCTTAAAACTTTTGTGGTGAGAATTACAGCTATTCATTACGGTGTTCCATATGCAAGTGGATACAAGAACTAAAATTTGACCAAACTGTCAAAATCAAACATTTTAGTATCGTTCAGAGGTTTGGGAAAATAAAAAGAACATGAAGACCGGAACATTTTAAAAGTTACTGAAAGATATAAGTTTACACATCAGCATGTGCAATTTTAATACTAAATAATTAAAACGCTCCTTGTGCTGACGAATGCCTCTAAATTTTCCAAGTTATTTATTAGTCATCACATTTAGACAATGAGAGACTGGTATGAGGTTAAACAAATATAATGTAAATTTTCAGTGATATGCGCTTTCCGGTCGCGGTAGAGCGAGCTGTTGTTTACATTCCGGAAAGAACTTCACTTGAAGTCATTTTAGTTGAAAAGTTTTTAAATCGCTACTGAAAAGCTTTTCACGAGTTCTTCTAGAATGCCGCTTAGGTATATTACGCTGGTATACCGATAGAAAGTTTGGTCTGTGAGTTAAATCAGTTTCCAGGGCATTAAAAGCTGAATGGAATTTTTTTCTGCTAATTGTATTTGCACTGTGAAGCAATTTTGTATCGATCAAGAAGCTGCTGGCCATAATCCAGTCTCTGGCTTGAAGCGACTGCAACAAATGAATGAATCTCGCTCCCTAAAACACATAAGAGGTTGCAAGACAAACTCTAACTTAGACAGCAATTAAGAAAAATTCTGTGGATACCTCACTTTCTAAATGGGACATTTTAAATACTGCAGAGAAATGTTTGTCTTGTCTGCTATAATACTCGGCCTTCCTGTAAAAGCTAACAATGGACAATGGGTTTAAATATCGAGGTTGGTCAATTTGCTTTGACAAGGGCTTAGATTGCGTTTCAATGTTAAACACCGACAGACTAAACTTTGTTTTAATAATCGATAATAAAACTGGCCCTTAGGGCATTTTCACGATAGGCAGGTCATTATACATGGCTCGGTTTCCGAGATCTCATGTTAACCCTGCTTCTTATGTAAAACTTCCTTGTTCTCTTCCTATGCGAGCCGACTCGTTCTCGTTTATCAATAAACCCTGAACGGCCAACTGTCTGTCTCCATTATTTCAGGTTTGAACGAAACAAAACCGAACATGGAAGGAAAAAATGCCACAAAGAATATACCCTACATGTGACAAAATTGAAGATTTTCAAAAATTATTGAAATTAAACAAACTTTAAACTGAAAACTACAGCCGATTTTCATTTGACCACTCCATCCGATCGTTAAAATCAGCACGCCACCGTAGCACAAAGTTTGCTGAACCTTTTCAATCCCTAGAAGTCACTGAAGGCGAACTTTATTAATTCATCGAATGGACTTAAAGAAAGATCACGGTTACAGCTTTAACATTTTAGAAACTAAATTCACTAGATTAATTACAACACAAACTAAAGAAATTTGAATTTAGCATACTTCATTGTATGCATACTTCATTTGACTTAAATATTTTTAAGGCAGCTGTTACACACGGTAAAATTCGTTGGGAAAAGAAAAAGTTTCGAACCAACAAACAACTCGATAATGTCATCACTATGGTTGATCGAAGTATGATAATTATTCGCATTAAATAAAACAAACATTGAACGATTTTCTGCAACGATAAGCGTTTAAGAAACACAAATCTCTTCTTCAATTTATAGGCCATTCTGAAACAAGGCCAGTCCTCGATCTGATCCAGCAACGGAGTAAAATGCTGATGAAAAAATAATATAACAAAATTCATCCAAAGTCGCGCCGCTAATTGGCGAGGTGAAGGCTCTTGGGCAGTGTTAAAAATGGTTGTCAATGTTTTCTTTTCATTTATTGTGTTTGCAAATTTTGCGATCGAGCAATCCAACCGCGAAAGGTTCAATAATCGGCTCAAACCAAAGCTGCGAAATGAATTCGTCAGCGAAAGCCAGGATTATAACCAACACCGCGTTAAAGTCACGCAAAATATTTGCAAATAACAATCACAAATCATAATTACCGCTCAAGTCGCCGTCTTCTCTCCACAATTTCAAGATTTCCACGTCCTTTCTATCCGAGAGCGGCGACCAATATTTCTTGTTCGCTCCTAGAAATATATCTTCGCCCGTGGGCTGACGTTTCAAGAGAAAACTTCGATCGAACGGCTTGAAACTTTCCCTTTTGGTCTTGTCCTTTAACTGCTGGAGTGTCTGCGAAATGTAAATATCAGGAAATATCAGCAGGCTAATATTGCATGTTGTTAAGAACGCTTAGTTGCCCATGCGTTGCTGTAAATATTACTTAGCATCACAACCGGACAAAGATGGAGGCATACCGTGTGCCTAGGCGGTGGAAAACACGAGAAAAAACAGCACAAAGCAGCCTATTATTTGCAAGAACAAAGTACATGAACGTTTCGAACTGTATTTTTGGCAAGTCTGCACGAGTCTGTTTTTAAATTCAGAAACTCGTGAGTCTGTGGCTTCTGGTCTCACGTGAACACTCGTAAGGCATATTTTCGTAGCCATGAATGATGACCACGATGACAGGAAGATAATCGATATGGAGAAAAATAATGGACCACTATACGGTAGGAGGGCTAAAAACTGCCAGTGCTCATTTTGTATATTCATGTCAGTAGGATTTTTGTCCTTCGTCTTTCAAGTTCTTTCCTCTTAGGACAGCTACTAGCAGGAATTCTTAAACAAATTTTTCTTCTGAGCCGCAGAGGAGAGTTTTGATAGTTTTTTTGATCTTTATTGTTGATGTTGTTGATGATGATGTCGTCCAGTGTTGTTGCTGTTGTTGTTGTTGTTGTTTTTCGGGGGAAGGGGCTAATTGCACCTCCACCCTCCCCACCCAAACCCCGCTCCCTCTTTCTAAAATTGCATAGGCTCACGTTCAGGACCGTTCAGGGGCTTTTCTTTTTCGTTCCAACATAACTACAACATCCCACTCTACAAGCAGTTTTTTTCGAGGCGCAAAAAAAAATTGATTGTAATAAAATAAAATAACCAAACCGTCCACCATTTTGCCAAAAGGATATAGTAAAACGCCTCGATCGTTTTCTTCAATTATCGTCAATAAAAATTGAATTCAAGGATAAATGTCTATTATCTACTTCCGGCTTAAGTTTACACTGAAAAATATTATTCCGGATTCAAAAATGTCTCCGGATTTCAGTTACTTTAAGGGTATTCACCATACATTCATTCAGGATTCAGAATCCCGGACGCGCGAGACCAAATTGGGACATTTTTGTTCCGGACTCACGAATCTGCGTGCGAACGGCAAAACGAATCCGGCACCAAACTTTCCCCATTCTTGAATCTCCTTTATTGGAAACCTAGCATGAGTTATACTAAAGGGCGAACTAATTGAGCAAAAGCCACAAAAATACTTCTTACAAGTCTGAGTTCAGTTTCCTCTTTTTCAAAGACGAACACTTGTCTCTCAACTTGCTCCAACTCTTCTTGGACTTTCTGCGCCATGGATTCTTCGAAGCCTCCAGCTATTTCCAGGCACAGTTTCTCCTGACATACCAAGAAAAAAGTGCTGAAAAGTTAGGCGGGATAAGAGTGGCATCCCGGCAATCCCGCAGGGATCTCAAGGGATATCGATATCCCGACATTTTCCCTCGGGATAAGAGATGATATTGCACGTTGGTTTCCGCTGCCGAGTGTATGGTATCAAATAATGTTATATGTTATATGCTTGATACGCGTCTTCGTCCTAAACGTTTTTTTCGTAGTCCGTCGAACAAAACGCGCGTGACTGAAGGCGCGAGATGGGAGAGGGACGCTCTCGCGCGCGTGCACCCCCCTCGCTAAATCTAAAGAAAACGGAGAGGTTTCTTTTACAGGACACATTCCAAAAGTCACGATTACAGGTCACTATTTTCTGAAGAAAATGAGTGACTGCTCGCAGTCTACCTAAAGGGAAAAAAACGTGCCCTTGTTTTGTAACATTTCTGCAAAACAAGTTGAAAAGTGATGTTGCGCGTTTTACAACCCACAAATTAAACCTGTCCTGCAGCAATTAAGTTGTTACAGGTTACGAAAAAAAGGTTGCAGAAAGTAGAAAGCAGTCTTTTTTTGCAACAAATTCTGTACATGTTGCCTCGTTTTAGCGGCCCAAGGCAAACTTGTTTTCGGCAAGTGATTTAATTCCCTTGTATGGCGTGACTCCCGCGTAATTTTATCCAATCAGAAGTAAGTATTCACGTAACTTGCAACAACCTGATTTGTTGCAAGTCCGGTTTGAAATTGGGTGGTAAAACTTGCAACATGTTTTCAAGTCATTTCGCAGCCGTTCCAAAACAAGTTGCGGGTTCTTGTTGCCCGTTTCACCGTAGCTTAAGACGTGACCAAAACAGGAAACCCTGAATTAAAAGTCTCCGACACCAAGGATATTTAGAAGGCGACCAACACCTACGCACCAGAGAATGCTGCTTGAAAAGATTTCACTCTGACGTTAAGCATTTGGCGTATAAATGACAGAATGGTAAGTTTGAAAACACGTTTTCACCGGTAATAAAACTGCCCAACAAGAAATTACACGTCCTCTGAACCCAAGTATAACGGTCACGTGGACGATAAGACCTGAAAATTTCGTCTGAAACGTTACAACAAAATATGGCAAAATAATCTAATGAATAATTAAATTACTTTACTGCACTATTTTTCACATTACGAAAGGTTCGCAAATAAACGACTTTCTTCTTCGAGTCTTAAAGAGAGAATGATCTAATCTGCATTTTTGCAGGTAACTGTGTTCGTCACAAAATGGCGGATAGTGGAAAGTACTTAAAAAGTCCAAGTTCGTGATCGTTACCAAGCAAACACAACGGCAACGGCAACAGCAACGAATACGCCACTTGGAAAGCAAGTTCGCGCTGTTTTAAAATTTATTACTCTTGTTCCATTTCATACAATTGCTTAATGCTGGGGAATTCTTCTGGAGTTGATTCTAAAGGATTGTATCTAAATTCAGAAAAAGAGAAAAGAAAGTCGTTGTTTTCTCTCCACGTCCTTCATAAAACGTGAAACTAGGAAGTTCCACGTCGTTGTCGTGCAACGACGGCAAAGAAATGTGCAAAAAAGCATGATGCACGTGCAGAGTTGTTGTTTTTCTAATCTAAACCAATTGCTTTTTTGTCGATCTCGTTGCTGTCGCCGTCGTAAAACTTAGTTCCTCAACATTCTACCACGTTTCATTCTTCGCATTACAAGTGAAACTCGGTTATTTACAGCATAGAATAAAACAAGAGTGTATGAATAATGCTGTCATGAAGGGCCCAGTAAAGATCAACATACATTTTCTCCAAACCATTCCACATAGTACATTCCTGTGGTGCAATAATGAGATTTTACCCACAAATCCAGACCTTTTATCTTCGGTACTTATTTGCTTTATTCTTCTGCTCTTTTACTTTTGGTTCAAGGCAGTGATGTAAAAAGGGCATACTACGTGCACGTCAGATTAACCCTAATTAGGCCTTGATATCCACACACAAATTCTCCACACTGATCCTCATACATTGCCTTAAAGAATAAGTTGAGAGAATTTGATAAAAGATCAAAGCATTTTTCCTTAGCTGATCATTTTCTTTATTCTCATAAACTTTTCTTTTATTATGTATCGATATTGTTAAGAGAAAATTGATGTTGGTCAGTCTTGGCACTTAACAGTAGAATTTAAAATAGCTCTTGGCCCCTGGTAACAGGGGTGCGTCTTACCTTCAATGAAAGTAATTTTCTCTTCTCCATCTGGACCTCCGCAAGCCTATAAAATCATCAGCACACAAAAGTTAGTGTATTAAGAGACAAGAAATTATCCAACTTTCCAGGGGAGGTTCTTCCAGGAATTCAGGTGTGTGTTTTTACAAATACTGTACCATTTTCTTTGCAACATCGATGATACTTATTAAATATGACCTCTACTTGCATAAAGATTAAATTGTATTTTTTGTTCCCTCCACAATCAACTCAATTATGTACTCTAAATCCCCTATTACGCCCCCCGGGGAGCTTATTTTTTTCAAGCACTTTTGAGGGGGGGAGCTTATTTCATTTAGCGAAATGCATCAACAGGAGCAAGGTTTCTCGAGGACGGACTCATGGTTCCCGGGCATTATACTGCTTTTTCTGACAATAAGGAAATGGTAACAATTCTTCACAGAGAACTAGAGCATAAAGTTGAAAAAGTTGAGCACATGAAGTTGGAGGTTATGCGGCCGACGACCAAAAACAACATGAATTTCCAGCCCGAATAAACTATATCAAATCAGCACATGTTAATTGCTTGTGAAGAGTAAGGATGGAGGGGAGGGGGGGGGCTTATTTGAGAGGGGGGGCTTAATAGAGGATTTACTGTAATAATCTTAGTTTCAAAGAGTTAACTTTCTCATTTTATAAAGAATTATCCACTCAAGGGCAAGGTTGTGGGGGATCAAGCAAAATTCTTAAACTAATAGTAAAATAATAAGAATTCAGCTATAAATAGGTATCATAAACAAAATTTATTTAAATGGAATTTCTTTATCATTACAAACCTCAGTCTTTTGCTCTGATAGCACTCATCTGTCAGCTACAAATAGAAAAATAATATTCTGTTATACTGATTTGTATTTATTCAGGTCTTTCTGGATACACAATTTACACACTAGACAAAAATGTTAACAATCAACATACATGTAACTTGGGCAGTTATATTGTAAGGCCAAGCAAGATAAGAAAATTAACTTTACCAAAGGGCAAGGTGTTTCTCTATTAAAAGGGTGATAAACTATACAAGCCCGCCCTTCTGAAGTTTTGAGTATGTGGTCATCAGCAAAAATAAAATAGGGTTTATTCTACGTATTTTATTTTGAGTCATGTTAAACTATTCCCTCTTTAAAAAGTGTGAATAACAAATGATAAAAGAAAAAAGAAACAGGATAGGCAAATTACCTGTGGTGGAAGAATTGATCTCACATTTATTGACAGCCCCTCAATTGAGTTACCTAGTGAAAAAAATTTGCACTTGTACAAAATGTTTTTTTGTCTGTTTGCATGTAACTAAAGCCAAGTAAAGCATGTAGAATGAAGACTGGCAATGAAACAGGAGCCAAATGCAAAACACTTGGCAGTTAACTCATATTGTGATGGAAACTCTCATTTTATGCTAAAATTGTGCCAAACTTACAATCTCCACAATGTAAAACTGAGTATGCAAGGGGATAATTGATAATTTGATAAAAGCCAGGCAAATAATTCTGGGTATAACTAAAAAGCCAATATTCTTTGCTCTGCAAGGCACTTCATTTTAATAGCAATTACCTTGCTTGCAGTATCTAGTTAAATGAAGAGCTACAAAGAATTCTTCCAGTGATAGTTTACCATCCCTGTCAATATCAGATAAGTTCCTGTCAAAAACAAGAAAATCATGTTTTAAAAATGGCCTTACTATGAATGTACAGTATAAAGTTGAGCCTTTTTAACCTTGTGGCCAGAAGCCATGCAAATGTATTAAAAGAAAAGAAACTTTAAAAATGGGAAGTTTGGGTTTTGGGGTTTGGGACGCCAACATGGCCACCTTTTCATTGTTTCGGGACAGCTATATGGCGAAGTTACGTCATGTGAAAATGCTCTATCCATAAATTAGTACGTCACTTATTATCCCAGTTCCTTCACAAAGGGGTGTGCTATGGGGCAAATGAAAGCCAGAAAGTTAGGTTTAATAAAATAAAGTTCCTATAAAAGCATGAGACATTAGAGAAATAATAATATTGTTATCGCACAGTATAGATAAATGAGTCAGATACCCACAATGCCAGTCCCCAACTCTACACTCCACCCTCTCCCCCCTGTCTCCGCAAAAAAAGGATGTTCTTACAAAGGGCAAAAGGGAAGTTTTCTGCACTAAGCATCAGGGCCTCTATGGAGACCAGTTCCGGAACTGAATGGGCCACCCTATTGAAATAAAGTTTTACTTTACTTCACTAAACTACTTTCAAGGGGACTGTAAAAACCAACTGATATCTTCAGTTGTCATTTTAATTAACTCACCATATTTGAGCAAGGACATGATCAGGCAGACCAGACCCAGTAAGGATGGCACAAGCAGCTTCAGCTTAAAGAGAAAATACAATAAATATTAACCCAGAGACAAACTCATATAAATGACAAGGCCAGAGTTTGAAATAATTTTTTAGCTGGGACCTGTCAAGTTGTCTAGTCAAACCTATTTTCACTTGGACAAAGCCAGCTACTTTTGACTAGAATTATAACATTGTCTTTGACTGGCCGTCATATTTCAAGTCCTGCGGGCTTAAATAGTTTTTTCAAAGCTAGCTGGCAATTTATTACCAGGTTTTGCTGCTTAAATGTTCTGGAGAACTCAGCATAAAACTTCCCTTGATTGAGTGCCTCTACCAATATACAATGCAGTTTATTCCAGTACCGCTCTAAACCTCAAAAACTTTCACCTTACTTTCAACATCATGACTGAGGTGCTGATCCAGCAAAGAGTCTTCGATGCTTACCATCAATAAATCCAGTTTTGGAATTAACATTCCACACGAAAGCTTTTTCATAGACTTCTTTCTCCTCTGGTGACATAGCTGGAATATCGACAGTACGTAAATAAACTGGATTTAGGGACTCAGGCAATTTTTCAGGAATGTCTGTGCCCTTTAAACGACTTTGAATGAGATGCATTGCTATGGCAAATTCTGCGGTGTCCAACGTGTTGTTTCGTGTCACATCAGCAAGTTTCCTTTAAGAATAAACAAAAAAATTCAACCCACAAGCAGTTCTTAACAATTTAAAAGTAACTTTTTGTAACAATGCTGTTACTAAGACGTTAAAATTGCTACTTAATGATAAAAGCAATCAAAAGAGCATTTTTTTAATTTCTAAGAAGGCATTCCTCATGTAATCCCAACTGAATGGTCCAAAGGCCAATAATATTTACTCCAGGGAGGGGAGGGGGGGCACTTTTATATCCTGGCTAATAAGTATACGCCAAATGGTAAGGTCTAACAAGGTCCTGGCCACACACCCCACCTGTGGCCAACAATTATTTATAGCCACCCCCTCTACCTTAAGGGAAATTACTGTACACAAATTCACAGCAGATGTCATTGGCCCAGGCCCCTAATTAATTTATAGACCAAACATTTTGGGGTTTGCCCACTAACTTCTTCTATCAGCATCTCAATAAGGGGACCCCTCAAACACTAGAGGGTCCACAATATTGCATGGTCTGCCATTGAGTGTTATTTTGACTTATAAAAAGGATTTATTATAAACTAGTGTCCATGGTATTCTCAATAGCCTATGTTTGACGTATTAAAATTCTGACATGGCTCCGAGGCTTTAGGGTCAAAATAGCAAAATGTCCACCACTCCACTGTTTTGCAATTCGCAGAGGAGACTTGAGCACAAAGAAAACCAAACCAAATACAGGAAAATGACCAGAAAGCCTCAAAGTCATAGAATTTTAATATATTGAGTATGGCCATTGTTGTTAATATTGAGCAAACAGAGTTTGAGTTTGTTTGTTTACTGGTTGTTTATTTGCCCTTAAGAGAGAGTTTTTAATATTTATGGTTTTCTTTGTGATATCTTTATAACAATGAATGAAAGGTATGCAAAGTATGTACAAAAAAATTAAGCTGCAGCAAAATATCCAGCTATGTAGGCGATGTTCAGTTTTCTTCTCTTACAGCCTTCGATTCACAATGGCTAATTATAAAGCAGTGAAAATCATAGCCCATATTTTTTCCCACGAACAAAAACATAACAATATAAGGAGGCACTCTAGAGTAGAGATTAATATAATTATTTCTTACCCCTGGGCTTTTGGAAATTATAGATACTTTGCATAATAAAAACTTGTGTAATGGAGTGTATTTGCCTTGAAGATATAGAACACAGTCAATTTTAATACCTACGGTTTTCCCAATCAAATGATACCTCGCCTTATTAAAGTATCACATGGTTCACCAAGACATTTACCAATCCATTTTAATTACTGTGGTTTGAAATTAAAATACGTGAAACACAATGCTTATGTAGCCACATGGATAATAAAGAAATCTATAGCCGAGATAATTCTGTTTTGAAAACAAAGCGAGGAACCCGTTGTTTCTAGAAAAAGACGAACTTTGGAATCTGACGATTGCAACTGCGAAAGATTGCGATCCAAATTTTACCAAATGTATAACGCTGATGGGCCTAATTTAGAAAAACTGCATTTCCTAAAGGCTCACCCCTGCGAACATAACATAAGCTTAATCTCACACACTCGATTTAGCTTGTTGAATATACATGTACTGTCTATAAGCTTACTATTTAGTTAAGTACCGCGCTAAGTGAAAAATTTATGATAAACATTTCGAAATTATTTTTTTAAACCAACCAGATCTTACTGAGCTCCGGTAAAGGTAGTTTGGATCGTATGAACAAAGAACGAGCCTGTTCACCTGAAAAATATAACAAAAAATGTGAAGAAATATTTGCACAGATGAGCGCGATCGAAGCCGCCATCGCTTTCACACATCACACATTTTCTCACCAGATAAATATTGATCCTTAGGTTTTTGACTGTAAAATAAGGCATCGTGACGAGTTCTCTCCTCTTCAGAAATAACCCACTTCAAATCCATTTCAGGCTGAAAGAGAGACCTGAAATAAATGCAAAATAGTAAGTTATTTTTACCAATTTCATTCATCAAACGAAGACGTCAATTTCCAATGCCTCTGAGATTTCCCTTCCACGGCGATAAAAACGTGATATACAAACGTGCGATTCACCTTAGGAAAAACCATCATTGTTTAAATTGTCCATCATGTAGATTCAGTTTGTTTTTGTCGGCGAAACATCGTCTGAATATCTGCAGCAATATCCCACTGAACTCAAATTTTACATTTTGTCACGGTTTTTTGACGCTGGTCCAGTTTCCATGAGTGCCGTAAGAGATGTGGGGGGAGGGGTGGAGTAGGAAGACTGTGTGATGGGAGGGCTGGGTCACTAGTGAAGCGGCACAACGGCACAGAAATCTTTGTTGCGTTGATAAGAGGTGTAGTAGACTATTCCTCTGAATTTTCTCTTCATAGACAGTGATACAAACAAACACGTGAGCGGAAAATCATCCCTCGAGGACACAAAACGCGTCGCGCGCAGAACTCCATGCTTCAGGAGCTGAGCTTCTCGCGAGGTGGAGATTTTACACGCCTTCACATTATCACATATTTTGCTCACCCTTTCTTGACTCTGAGAAAGATATTACAGACCTCGTAGCCATATATATGTGGTAAGTAGGGTAGTTATTTGAATTACGCAATAAAAATTTCAACAAGCCGGACAAGCTGATATAGCAGAAGCACGCTACTCTAGATTCTACAGAACATTCATGAAATTTACATACGTACAATCATGTACATTTTTCGTGATGAACTCCTTTTTTTCGGCTTGCTCATAGGTTTAACCGAATTTATAATGGCTAGAATCATGATTCTCCGTAATTTTCCGTCGTCATTTTGGGGGACCAGTTTTCTTGGAAATTTGACCCATGTGTACATCATGAGTCTTTATCTAACGATCTAAAGAACACCTGCTTTCATTGTTGTTTTAATTTGAATTTCAAAGCATACCCTGCGATTCGGGTCGTAATACAATGCCTAACTATTTTATCCAAGTACAACTTCAGCTGCTGCAACCACAAATACTGGGCGCACGAGCGAGCTTCACGCACACACACAAAAAATTCCTTAATAGACTTAATAGTTTAAAAATATTCTAAGTTTTGGTTCTGAGAATAATCTCAGTATAAAATATAACTAGGAAAAAAAAATAAAAAATATACTTTGTAACATACTTGATCCGAAATAATGTACAAAGATCACAAAATTATCGTCTTTTTCTTTCATTTAGGAGCCCATTGCTGTTTTCAAAGATTATCGGTGTGTTTTTTAAGAACATCATACTCTCATTAATTAACTATATTTTAAATTGTCATTGATAAACTAACTAGGCATAAAACGTACTAACGAAACTGGATTCATTATAAGCTATATCGCTAATTACATTGGAAATGAATTTACGACATACCAATGCTTTCTCAGAATCATCTTTTAAATCAGTTCGCTGTAAGATTTTCCAACAGTTTGTTTTAAAAATCCTCTTATTCAGCAAGCCACGGTATGCACTACTTAATTTGCCTGATTGGTGACAGATTTTCATGGCCCAAAATTTTTTTCAAAGTTTTCTTACCGGGGCCCCTTTCTAGCGCCTGTCACGCAAAAAACAGACTGATCAGCGGTATTTTCACAAGAACACATGGAAAACCAATATGGCGGACACAGCGGATCTATCCAAAAAAATCAAAGAATTAAAGGACAAAACGAAAGCTATTTTAGAAAGCGATGCAAATTCAAACTTGCTCGTTGATCTACTGGAACTTTCGGAGAGGGAGGATGAAAAGCTCCTAGTCGCATTTATCAGATCAGCACACAAAATCTTCACAACGTTTTTTTCTCGTGGAAAGCTACAACCTCCTTCTAGCATGGCGAAAGAAAGCGAAGATCCTGGAGATGTCTTTTGTTGCTGGCTGCACGAAAAGTATTTGCTTACCTTGAAGCGGCTTCTGTATCTGCTGAGTGTTGGATCACAGAATGTTGCGGAGTTTTCCTTATGTACATTAATGAAGTTCATTGTCGAAGAAGGCAAATTAATGAAGTGTTTCCCAAATGAGCTATTCAGGCAGATTTGCGATGCACTCTTTGATGGACAACACAGCATGAAAAACTGCGTTGAACGATTTGCAGAGTTCTTAGAGTTTGACGATGTAAGGTTTTATGTGCTGAAGAATCTTGGTAAATTCCTGGGGAATGTCTCCAACAGCACTGAGAAATTTCTTGTGGAAAATACCTTGACAATGCTGAGCCTTGTAAAGATGAAGAAAGATGAAAACGAACTCAATAATTTTCTTACTGATGTGAGAAAAAAGAAGAAGAAAAAGCATGGCAAAAGTGGAAAACAAGAAGAAAGATTTCTTGTTCTACAGGAGCATAGAAGGGTGTTCAGCTCAGCATGGCTTGGATTTCTTTCAATTCCATTGACATCAGAAGTTCACAAGAAGATTCTACTGAATCTTCACACTGATGTTTTGCCTCACATGACTGACCCAAAACTGCTGATGGATTTCCTAACCGATTCCTATAACACCGGAGGTGTTACAAGCCTACTTGCACTCAACAGTCTATTTGTGCTGATACACAAGCACAACTTGGAATACCCAGATTTTTTCAAGAAGCTTTATGCCTTGTTTGAGCCTAACATCTTCTATGTGAAGTATCAAGCAAGATTCTTTCACCTGGCTGATCTGTTTTTGATGTCAACTCATCTTCCCTCTTACCTGGTTGCCGCTTTTGTAAAGCGTCTGTCGCGCCTCGCTCTCACTGCTCCCCCATCGGGTGCAATGTTGGCAATTCCCTTTGTCTGCAATTTAATTAGGCGGCATCCAAGTGTACAAGTCCTCATTCAACAAAAGAAGGTAAGACAGAGAAATTTTATTTTACTAGTTTCCCTGTCTCCTTGCTCCCTGTCATTTGGAACATTTTATAGGAGAGACTTCTGCACCTCAATGACAGAAATGCCAAATTGATGCGTAAAATCTGTCCAGAATCTCATCAGGAGCTCTGATTTGTTGACATAGCAGGGGCGGATCCAGGATTTTTTTTAGGAGGGGTGCACTCGTCTCTTGCTCTACTTCAACACCAATAAACCACATAGTTTTTTTATTTGCAGAATACCAGTTGTATTAGAAAACCGCAGGTAATCTCGGGGGGCACCCCTGCACCCTCCCCCTAGATCCGCCCCTGCATAGTAATTGTCAGGGTTTTTGTTAATAATCCTAGTAGTAGGAGAAAGGTGCAATGTTACCGGACAACATTTTGAATGAGGCTCCACTTCTGAATAAAAAATAGTCATAAGCTACCGAACATTAGGCAGAGAATTCTGCGTAATAAACAGAGAATTCTCTGATCTCCAATGCCTAAAGAACACCCTGAAATGTATTCTTTTAGCTATGGCATTTCTCTTGTTGAGGCACAGACTTCTCTCCCACAAATTAAATGTCCCTAGTACCAAGGATAAATGGAACAAGGCGTTAAGTGACTCGTCAGGTATTGTCGATAATACTCCTTAATAAGTAGGTTGAGTATGATCATCTGGGTGAATGTAGTCCTGAATAGGACTGTTGTTGTTAACAGTGACTGAGGTTTAACCTGTGTGGTAGTCATCTTCAGAGTCAAAGTGAATTGTATCACGTCAGTTGATAGTATTAAACTCTGGTTATTGACCTGATTGGTCAATTAAGTCGTGATGTTATTGGTCGTCTGTCAGTAAAGCCGTGATGATATTGGCTATGAAGACTTTTAATGTCATTGGTACTTTTCGATCCGCCTATTGTCACAATTATTTATTGTCAGTCAAATTGTCAGTTGTCCAGTTTAACAAGGAAACTCAGGGTAATTCATAAGCAGAACCAGTTTATCAAAGTCATGCATGGCTTTTTTTCTAACACCTTTTTGGTAGACATCTTGTCAGAATATAACCCATTCTTTACAAAACAAAAATATACAAAGAAAGATACCGAGTTCATTTTTTTTATTTTCGTATTATTATTTTCAGAGCAGCTGTTTTGGTGATTTTTAGTATCCTATAGAGCATTTTCATATTACATTACGCCCACCATATTAGTGTTCCAAAGTAGTGAAAACGCAGCCATGTTGGTGTTCCAAACAAATCCTGTAGGACTTAAACCTTTTTCTCACGTAAAGAGTTTTTTTTCTTCCAATAAATTTGCGTAGTTGCTGGCCATGTGAGTAAAAAGGCTCTATTAACAGGACATAATATTAAAAATGATGCACTTTCTAAAGACTGTACATGACGGTACCCTGTACTGTGCACATACCTATTTACGAGGGTTTTCTCACAGCTCCGCTTGTCTTCAGATCAGATAGACATAAGAGACTTTAAAATACCACAATGACAAGGTTGGTGTTCACAGATTTATTGGTTTGACAGTGATGGTCAGTCAGGTTTGAGCAAGAATACCAGATATTCAATACACCATGCATAGTTTTAATGTAGACATAATAATACTGTGGAACCCCACTCTACTTACAGCACTTAATACAGACACCTGCATACATGTATAACAGACAGTTTTGTTTGTCCCGACAAAATGCTTACATATCTGTTCTAAAATTAACGTGCTTTATGAACACCTGTTAACTTTGACTCTTTTACTGTAGCCATTTGATTAAGTTTTCTGCTTTCAGTATTAGGATTAGCTTAGTTGTAGAGTGCTTGACTGCTGAGTGGAAGGTTGCGGGTTCGATTCCCGGGACCAGAGGACCAGTACTCAGGGTCTTAAAATAACTGAGAAGTGAAGGTACTCCCTTCGCACCGCAAGCAGCAAGCAGCTGTCTCCAGTTAGAGATGTAAAAATAGTGCCCCCAATTAGCACTTCATGCCAAATACCTTGACACTCAAAGAAAATGTTTTTTTTTTAACTACACATGCAAGTTTCACTTCCTCCGCTTTTTAGCTGAGGTCATTGTAACATAAACTATTGTGGCCTTCTTCCTCTTTTTCTGCTTTAGTGTGTATATCTGGTATATCAATACAACGTGTGTCCGTGACTTTTTTCGGAAAGCTTACTTACTACGGACAACATGGCAATTGCCCTCTTGGTGAAATAAAGTGTTGTTGTTGTTGTTGTTGTTGTTGGTGTCCATAGTAACCGGGTCCCACTGTATCATTTTGTCTTTAGTCAGGAAAGCTACTGCTTGAAGGTGACTCAGAAGAAGACATTTCCGATTCTCAAAAAGGTGATCCTTTTATTCCCGATGAACCAGACCCTGCAAAATGTAATGCACTGAAGAGTTCACTTTGGGAACTGAAAACTCTCCAAAGCCATTATTATCCAGGAGTTTCATCACTTGTGGAAATGCTTCAGAAGCCACTCGGTACCATGGAAACAGACATCTCGCAGTATTTTGATGAGGATTATGATCAACTGTTCCAGAAGCAATGCAGAAAGATTACAGCGGAAAATGCAGTTTTGGAGTTTCAAGTTCCTAAGGGATTATTTAGTAAGGGCATGTTAGAGAGCTGGGTCTTGGAGTAATGTGATGGTTAGCGGAACATTTACTCTACCGTAAAATTCCGAAAATAAGCCCCTCCAAATATAAGCCCCCCAATCCGGTAACGCAAAAAACCCTGCGTTAAATCGCCCCTCCAAATATAAGCCACCAGGGGCTTGTACTTGGAAAATTGCCCTCAAATACAAAGTAAAACAAAGCAAAAACGGTAAACTTACTTCCAACTTTTAGGCTAGCCCAATCGATTTTGAAACGCAAATTTCCCTCCGTGGCATAAGCCCCTCCAAAAATAAGCCCCTCAAAAAGGGCCTTTGAAAAATATAAGCCCCGGGGCTTATTTTCGGAATTTTACGGTACCTTTTGTTATATGTAAACGGCTTTGTCCTTGTTTTGCTATTACGTTACTTCTTGAAACCAAAAGAAAGAATAGTGAATGTATAGGAGAGTGTAAATGATTTTAATGAGGGGTGGTTAGGTTAAAATCCTAATAAGAAGCATGGTCTTGTAGCATTGACATAAGACAGATGAAATGACGACAAATGACACACAAACAGGTTGAAATTGTAAGAGCATCGAAGACCAGCGAAAATACAATAGTAAAATACCGTCAGAGACAGGGCGCTAAAACAGGAAAATTCAACATCATTTTCGCTTTTTTAATAAAGCAATTTAAGGGGTATTCCACTTGTGCTTTGGTTTTGAGATGATTAGGTCATCCCCATACAATGTTTCGTTTCCCATCGCCCGACTGACCCATTTTTTTGGAAAAGTAAAAAACACAATTCCACAATCACTTGTAAAGAAGCAAGTACTTTAAATTACAAGCACACGATCTTGTCTTATTAACACCAATTGTCTTAAATTATCATCGATACTTCGTTTTTGTAGCCTTTTTAGACATTTGATAGTCCTGTTAATATACATCTTTTACCATCTGATTATATCTTGCAGACTTAACGTGAGATTTAATATGCAATCATGTGTTCATTCCATTTTTTCTTTTTTTTTTTGGCCCGACCGACCGACCCACCTTCACGAGAGGGAGGGCGATGGGAAACATAACATTTTATTGGGATGGCCTTGTAGCCAACTTGGTGCGAAAATCACATAGCAAGGATACCCTCGTACATTGTCTCTGAACTACAATATGTACTGTCTGATTGATGATTATAATTGACTTAACAATTTGTTTCTGCCACACTGTTGTCTTTTTGTTTTGATTTTTTTCGTTTTGCTGAATTTTGTTACGTCATATGCAGAACGAAACATTAGCAGGAAGTGGTCAAGGAAAAAGGCAGGGAATTTCACTTCGTGTCATGAAAAAGTTAAATCTTTGAAAGAAGTCAGGGAAAAGTGAAATTTTAAGAGTACATATTTATTCTTTGAACAGTCTATGGACATGGATCGTTTTGTTTTGGTAGAAAATTGTCCATGAAAAGGAACGACAAGCCCGCCGTTGGCTTTTCAAGGACATCCATTCTTTCGCACGTTATGTTAAAGAACTATCAATTAATATGCACTTCACGTTACTTGCCGAAAGTGGGGGGGATGCCGTGAGAGAGTTGGTAGGGGAAATTTTAAATTTGTCAGGGAATGTCAGAAACCTCTGGCTGTGGCAACCATGATTAAGTTTGTTTCATAAACATTCAGTATTTTCGCAGTTTTCGCCTTATAATGCTAAATTACGACTTTTCAAAGCGGACCGAGGGAAACTTTTTATGTCATTATAACCTCAATTCTTGGCAGCGTTGGACCCGGGATTTTTGACGCTGTAATATACTAGCAAATAGTTGTTTTGACGAAATTTCCTAAAGACTTCCCTTCAAACAAGCGAAACAGATTTAGAGACACAGTTTTTTCTGTCTTCCCCCTTTTCAAAAAAAAACGATTCGCAAAAACTTCCGGTTAATTTAATAGTCGTTCAGGGAACTTATTTCTTGTCTACAAGGCGAAAGGTTTAGTACACAAGTTGTTCTGTGTGGCAAATTCGAAATATTTTTCATGTTTCTCTTTGTTACGTTAGCCTTTTATTGTTTTAATCTAGCATCCATCACAAGTGCTGTTTAATTGATGCTTTGGTAAAAATTCCGAACTCCTATTGGTTCGTTATGACTGTCAGCCTAGTACCGAGGCTCGGCGAATTTGAGTTGTCTTTAATAATAACAGAGTCGAGTCGAGTCGAAATTGCAATTGGAGGAAACTCTATACCATTTCCTGGGAAATCCTGAAATGTTTCGATTTCTAAAGGTTGATTTCCCCGAGGAAACACTTGCCACGTTGTCATAACGTCGACACTTTCTAGTTTCCTTATTAGGCTTTGGCAACGCGGAAACTTCAGCTGAAACTTTTTTGACAACATTAGCAAAGGAAGCTTTCATTTTTCTCTAAATCTGTGCGAAATGATGTCGAAACGATAAATCGCCGGGCGGAAAATGGCGGATGGATTAGTGGCAATTGATTAATTTACCTCTGTGTTTGGCTCTATCAATTCTGTCTTGGTTGGAATTATTACAAGTTGATGTTCAGATCGTCACGTCTTTAACAGTGAACTGACAGAATGGGCGCCTCTCACAGCTCTGAATCTTGGCAAGTAAATAGAAAAGCGAGAAAACGAGGGCAAACGCAGAGTGGTTTATATCGCATCAAAAAATCACTAAAAACACGGACGAGTGGGTACAAAAGTGAGAGCGACTTAACGGATCAGGAGGCCTCACAAATCAGGCCTGTTTACGTAAATCCTCTATTTCAGCACCAAGAGATGTTCAATAACTCGGATGTATTTTTTGAGGAAATTTTGTCTAAGATTGAACACGAAGCAGCCAAGCTGACAAGCTTAAAGAGAAACAGTGAAAGTTTGAGAGGTTTTGACACTTTTATGCTGTACTAGTATATTGGTGCAAGTAACTTTATACGACACTGACCTGAACTTATGTGATGGCCTTAAACTTTGTTGACGACAAGGCTTTGTAACTGAAAATTTGGCAGCGCTGCTAGATCGATAAAAATGTCTTGATTTCCTGGCGCAAGAGAAATAACTTTAAAAATTGCAAGTATTTGCTTTGTTATGGAGACGAGTTTATGACACAAAGTGAACGCTGCTTGTCTCGGTGACTCGAATATCGTTGCTGGAAGGAGGAACTCGGCGGAAAGACTGCTTGTTTAGCAATGGTACCACAACTGGATATTCTAAATTTAATTGCTTTCTTTGAATGAGTGATGAAAAAGTTGTAACTTTTAAATTCTATGAAGTTCAAGACACACATTCAAAAATTATCGTAGTGACAGACGACGTGGGGGGAAGAGCCTGAAAGTACCACCTGCTTCCACAAATTATGCATTTTTATTCTTTTGACATTAGGATTGGCTAATTTGTTTATAAACTTCAATATGTCTATCAGATTTTAAAAAAATAATAACAGCTGAACTTTTCCCTCTTTCTCTGTATGTCTATCAGTCTCGTTTGGTTGTCGAAATTAACTCGTGACATGATCCTCAAATTATGACCCTTAAGGTGCTCCCCATTATATAACACATAAGACAGATTTGCTTTGACTGAAGTGACTCTCTCTCCCGGCAGCAGGATATTATATAGTGCGCAAAGTTTTTTATTATTAAATTTTTCTAATCATGAATGTCCGAAAAAGTTCTAACGATTAACCATAATGATGTCATATGGAAGTTCATTCGCAAACCCAGTCGTTTAGCATAATAAACAATTACTTCAGTCTATTGTTGTGAATTTTACCGTTGGCTATGTTTTATTACGCAATCTCTAAGAGTTTCCTCATTTCTCTAACCTTGCGATCACTCGGTCCTTCATCCCTTTTTCTTCTTTTTCTCTCTCAAAACTTGAGAGCGCTCCTCAAGAAACCAACTCCAGGGAAATTCTCCTACAATTGCCATTTTCCGCCAATTGATACATATAAGCGCGACAAAGTTTGAAAAAACGGGAATTCATTTTAAAAGTGAGACGTTTTCGCTGCCTCGCCGTCTTCGATGCTAAGGGACCGGTAATTATTTTTCGCCTGAGAGTGTGGGGGGCGGAGTATTTGGGGCTAAACAAAGTGAAATTAGCCGACCCCTCCTTTGAATGTTACTTCACTGAAGTGATCCCCCCTAATATCTATTGATGACTTTCGCGATCCCCACCCCCCCATGTCTTCATTTTCCTAGAAAATTTGAGTGGTCCGGCCCCCTCTGAATCCTTCCAAATCCTTCAAAGCCTTCCTTTCAGTGATCCTCCCTTTTAGGTTCTCACTTCCGACTGATGCTGCCTTTTGTTCTCCTAAAAATCAAGTGATCCCTCCTAAAATCCTCCCCCCCCCCCCGGCGATAAATATTGACCGGCCCCTAAAGCTCCCTATTTTAACGCCTTCCTAGTAGGCTATTTTTCCCGTTGCTTGTTGCTCTTCGCCGAAAAAAGGAAACGCCTTATTACAGGCTATCATTTCTCTCGGCATGTGTCGTGAAGGAGGGTCCCTAATGAGGTTCTTCAACCCGGTAATCCCGACCCAAAATTTCGTGCACATCTCCCACGGATACTTTCAATCCTAAATTTCGCCCAAATTTTGCTTGAAAAACACGAATCCCGAGCTTCAATTATCCACCCATGTCCAATATACACAAACGGATACGATTCGTCAAACTGATGCAAAAATGGTCCATTGGTACCAATGGTACGATTGGTACCAATAGAAAAGCACCCTATTCCAATGGTTCTGTTGGTGCATATGCATCTAATTAAGGGGACTTAGATTATTTTCCCATGTCACCTGGTTGGGTACAGGGCAATTCCAATGGTCCATTGGTACCAATGGTACGATTGGTACCAATGGAAAAGGAGAGGCATATTCACCAATAGAACCATTGGAATAAGGTGCTTTTCCATTGGTACCAATCGTACCATTGGTACCAATGGACCATTGGAATTGCCCTGTACCCAGCCAGACCACATCTGAAAATAATCTAAGTCTCCTTAATGAGATGCATATTCACCAATAGAACCATTGGAATAGGGTGCTTTTCTATTGGTACCAATCGTACCATTGGTACCAATGGTCCATTGGAATTACCCTGTACCCAGCTAGACCACATGAGAAAATAATCGAAGTCTCCTTAATGAGATGCATATTCACCAATAGAACCATTGGAATAGGATGCTTTTCTATTGGTACCAATCGTACCAATGGAGACCCTTCTTATCACCACTAACACCAATGGAGTCTATTTGTGAGTATTGGACAACCCTCTTCAATTAAGGGTAATCCCGGGTCCTGATAAACTTTTGGGGGACCCTCGTGAAGCGATCCATGGGAGAGATATTTAAACCTGAGTTTGTTTGAGTCCGGCATGGGGTATATATAAATACCTCAAGGGTATATCTCGGCTGTCCGTCCGATAAAGACCCTTACTCAAGTTTTCAAAATGTCCATAACTTCGCCTAAGTAGCATAAGTTGTATGGAATTATGAGCCAACCCCCCTCCCCCTCCCCCTCCCCCCTCTGGCAATCCGCCTTTAATTTTCAGAAAGTATGCGTTTATCTCCTAATAATTTTCAACCTCTGACAACAGCGAAGAAGGACAGCAAGCATATCAGTATGTACGCGTAACATAATGTGCTCTTCAACAATGACCATGACAAATGCACCAGATCAAAAATGACGACAGCCAAATCCTGCTGTTTTCTCGTAGTGAGCTTGGGCAGGAGTCCATCACCCTGTGGTTGAAAAATCTTAATAATCGATCCTGTAATTGATGTTCATTATAATTATTTTATTGTCTTTTAAAATTTCTTGCAGAGTGTTTTCTAACCCCACCCCAAACCCACCCCACCCCCACCCCCTACCCTTTCCCCTGCTGCCATTGTCCTGTTCCCAATCTTCTCTCGAACGTTTTTCGAAATCGAGGTTCACGTGTTCCAACATGGCTGACTTGTCAGAGATAATGACGGCGAATCCTGCAAAATATCAAGAGGAACTCATCAAACGTCTCGATGCCCTGAAGAGAAAAGAAACCTTCTGCGATGTGACTGTTGCAGTAAAGGGCAAAGAATTCAAAGCTCACAAAGTTGTGCTAGCTGCAGCCAGCCCGTTTTTCCTTTCACTTTGGGAAAGCAACATGGTAGAAAGCAATGAACAACGAATCGAAATCAAGCTTGAAGAGGCTACTGCTTCTGTCTTCGAAGACGTGCTGCAGTTTATCTACACTGGAAATGTTTCTGTGACCGAAGAAAGTTGCCACAAGTTGATTGCCACGGCTGATTATCTTCTTTTACCGGGGTTAAAAACATTGGCTTGTCGTTTCATGCGAGACGAGTTGACGGTTCAAAACTGTGTTTTCACCTATTATTTTGCTGAAAAGTATCAGTGTGAACAGCTTAAATTGGCATGTTGCGAGGAGATTTGTTCAAATTTCACTGACGTTATGGAAACAGAAGATTTTTTGAACCTTGACGTGAAACAAGTCATGGAATGGGTATCTCGAGATGACATCAAGGTTGATGCTGAGGAAGAAGTATTTATGGGAATTGTCAAGTGGGTCTCTCATAACAAACCTGAAAGGCAAGCCAGTTTTTTTGGGTTGTTGCGCCAAGTGCACCTAATTTCCATATCGAAAGCCTTTCTCCGCAAAACATTAGTGCAGCAGGAGCCTGTAACTACAAGTAATGTCTGCGTAAACTTTGTGTTGGAATCTATTATTGACGAAAACACTAGTGTTTCCAAAGCACCAAGAAAATGCCTTATATGACAAGTGGAGGCAATTTTTGTGTGCGGTGGCAGGAAGGCATTGTGTTATCTTCCCGACATAAATGTGTGGTATCAGTTGGCAAACTGGTTGTTTGAGCATCAAGACCATGCTGTCATTCAATAGCGGGATAGCGGGATAGCGGGATACCGGGATTTTTAGTAAACAAAATTTTACAGATAGTCTGTCTTATGTAGTAGAGTACTATGTGCCTTCCACAAACCTGTGGCAGTGTTCTCCCTAAATTTTAGCTCAGCGGGTAAGGGACCCTTCGTGGACGGTAAGGCAAAAAATATAGACTTTTCTAAGAGAGGGGGGGAGGGGGGCAGTGGAGTGAGGGACATGGACCCGCCCTCACTGGGAAATTTTTTATTCCCATATTTTAAGACCTATTTTACGCAAATCTGCTGTCGTTTTCTTTAGATAACAAATTAAAACGTTTGATTCCAATAACTTTACTATGTCTCCAAAATGCATGCCCCTAAAAAGAGAAGCTGCATATACAGTACTAATACAGAACCAAAATTATGCACGCGCAAAAAGTGGCGTAAGAAGTTGCTGCGCCGCAAGAACATGCAAGCCACCGCAACAAGTGAAAGTGCCGTATTTTTGCAGACCCTTTGTGGTTTACCCGCAAGAACTTTGAAACGAAAGAAGTCAAAAATCTTCACCACAAGAAGCTAGAAAATTACCGCAAGCCTCAAGAAGGCACATGAAGTTCTTTATAAGTGTTAACCTGAAAGAAGTTTGTAGTGTTTGTCGCCTTTTTGTTACAACACCGTTTTGTAGCGTTGATACTAATTCACTATGTGGCAGCAAAAGGTAATCATGAAAGCACACACGTAAAAAGTTGCCTGGGAAAGCGAACAGCTTTCTCTGCTTTTTCTGCAAAGTGAACGCTTCAATCGTTCAGCTTTTCCAAAGTTAGATAAAACGTGTGAGGCGTTTGTTTAACAAAACGATCTGTAGTTTCGAACATTTCGATTATTTGGATCATTTCATAGTACAATACCATAGTCTCGGCAAAACAATCCAAAGGCGTTGAATTTCTGCCCACAAGAAAGCCTGAGAATTATTATTACTTTATTGCGCTAATTTGAAAGAGCCTTTAGTGAAAATATTGCTTACTTTACTTTAGCATGTTTTTTTTTTCCCGAGAGAACTTTAAGTTGACACAGTTGCACGTGCGGTCTCAAATTACACGGCTCTTTTGCGAAACATACTACGATCGTTCCTTATTTTTTGAAGCGCTGCTTTTTTTTAAATCAAAATTGAACACATTTCCTCGCTTAAAAGGTTACCTTTGCACAAGATAATTTTAAGAAATTCTTGTGGTTAAATTTATAACCGCAAAAGAAGTTCTTGCGTCTTGCTGGATTCAAGCGCAAGCGCCCTGCAAAAAGCCGCACGAAGTTGCCAGCTTGCGGGCGCAAAAAGAAGTTCCTGCACGTGCATTATTTTTGGGCTGTACGTTTTGTACTTAGGTAGCTATACTTTTCCATATATTCATTCATTTTCTTGTGAGGATCGGATCGGATCACAACTTGCATATTTTTTTTTATAAAAAAATTCTTTTAATTTGGTAAACCTTTAAGCAGTTGCAGGCGGTAAGAAGTGTTCCTTCAGGCGGTAAATTTTACCGGTTACCGCCTGATAAGGAGAACACTGCTGTGGTGTTCTTTTCAATCAGGCTTTGAGTATAATGAGCAATTCTCTAGTGTGTTAGCAGTGAGTGGTTATTCACCACTGTATGCTTTAACCAATAATGACTCTATTCCTGAAAATACAATTTATACATTTGACGTTGATAACAATGAATGGGAATTGCGAGGAGAAGATGAGTATAGGAATCGATGGGGGGCCTGTGCTGTGTCACTGGGACATTACCTTTACATAATAGGCGGTAGTTATGATGACACTACCACAAGAACTGGAATAACTAAAGTGGAAAGATTTGATCCAAATGATGACAGTTTCGAAGAAGTTGCACCTATGAATAAAGCAAGACATGCTGCATTTGGAGCAGCCATGACTGACAAGATCTATGTTGCAGGCAGAATTCGAACAAGGCAATTAGAAGTGGACTGGTTGACTCCTGTGAGGTTTATGACCCATCAAACGATGAATGGCATCTGATTGCAAGTCTCTGTGAACCACGCCATTCAGCAAGCATTGTCTGCTTCAACGGAGCTCTGCATGTCATTGGTGGTGTGAACTTTACAGATCGGGAATTGTCAGTTGAAGTATTTGATTCTGAAACAAATGAATGGAGGGAGAAGAGCACCATACCTGTCAGCCAAGTTGAAAGTGAAGAAGAGAGAAACAAACAGATGGATTTTAGGGCTTGTGCTGCATCAGTTCATCAAGATGTGTTTTTGAGGCCTATTGTGCCCTGAGCTGAGACAGTTACATGCTCTGTAAAGATAGTGTGTTAAAGGGACTGTGTCACTGCAGTCCACTGTTCATTTTGTTTAATTTTGCCAATTACTCACCCTCAATTGCTATGGAACTTAAAGTAAGCAAAGAAATTACAGGTAAATGACAAAATTAGAGATCAAAGACAAACAAATATGTCTCCTGAGCATTATTTTTGAAGTTGCAAGCATTGGGGATCAACTTGTAAAAACTGTTAGGCTGAACAGTTTTCAAAAACCCTAATTTCAATCGGTTTCAATCCTCTTCAGTTTTGCCCATCCTTGGCATCTGTTGTTTCTGTTATGTTATTTTAACCTTCCTTTAAAGTTTTAAGCGGATTTTTTTATGTTCCTCTTAATTTAACGGCCATTTTGTAAAATCCTAATTTGGCTGAATTTCGTGGCACAGCTCCTTTAAGTGCAAAATATGCATAAACTTTCATGATCACAAGACTATAAAATGCTTCAAAAAAGGAGCTGTGAGTAATCTAGTACTGAAGCACAGGTACTTTTCTGACCCTGAAAGTTTTCTTGAAAAACTATCAATCTTGGAAACACTTCAATACGATATAACAGTGCAGGGCTCAGTGCTTTCCTCTGAGAACATTTTACCGGAGCCCAATGCTCTGTACATGTGAAATCTAAAGAGCCCAGTATGTGTTTTGTTTTGTTCTGTTTTTCTTTTCTTGGTGAAATTTCGATTTCCTAGCCTTCCAAGTGCAAAACTTAAGCACCAGGGACCACCAAGCACTGCGAGAGCATAACCCTGGTTGCTTTACAGCGAAATTCGTTGTATATATATATTTTATATTTTGGGTTTTTCTGTTCTGTCAATCATCTTAACGGACCTCCTAGGAAACACATGTGTACTTGCACAAGTTCAAAAGGTCCTAGTTTGTGATTGGCGGATTTCAATCCGTTTTGTTTACTTTGTGTTTCAAGGTTCATTGCTTTGTGATCGTCCTGTTTCAGGCGATGATGGACTAGTTAAGTTTGCTTCACAGATTTCTCTGATCTTTCTTTTTCTTGTCACATGCAAAAATCCACTTACTATCACGATTTCCTTTGCTATTCTTGAGCAGTCTAGAGTCATTCTCAGCCAAGCTGGGTAAGCACTTTACATTGTGATTTGCATTAGCCCTGCCTTCACTCAAATGATTGACAGAACAGAAAAACCCAAAATCTCTTCGAAGTTTGCATATGCGCTACACGGTACAACAAATTTTGTTGTTGTATTTTTTAAACAAAACCCTGCAAGAGGTCAAGTGTGTTCATTAAGACTTTATTAAACATGAATGCACTTGAATTTTAGCTGATATAACTGAATGGTTCCTTATCAAAGGATCACACTGGGAATGTAGCACCAAATAGGAGTAGCAATACTCTTGCATACTATTACTCTCTTGACGTATTTGATATATATCAAAGGTTTTCAATGGAGGGTCACTTTTAGCAGGATTTACACAGGGGGTACATAATGTACCCACCATGAATCACTCTAGCTTGTTCCAGGCTCTCAGATAGTGGGAAAGATTCGAAAGTACTCAATTCAGCGGGCCGACTATCCTAGAGCCTGCAACAGGCTACAATCTTGGACAAAACTGTTGAGAAAATGTCACATTCTCAGAGCATTTTTCCTAACATCCTCGCTATACCGCGTCCTCCCTTCCCCCCTCCCCTTGGAAGCAATGTTTTTGTGTGTTCTAAAGCAACCCTGATCCTTAGACATTTGTAGGAAACAACATTGACTTGGGGGGAGGGGGATTTGGTACCGCAAATCAGTTGTTGTTGAAATAGTGTTGTTGCGTTCGATAGTGTGCATGGAGGGGTACAAATTCTCAAGTAGTTTTGTCCAGGATTGTAGAATCTCTCTGACTTTTTAGGCCATCACGCATCATGTAAATGAGGTGCCATGATAACTTAGAGCAATAACAACAACAACGAGTTTATTCAGTATTACCATTTTTTACAGGTGTTACCTATTGAAATAACAATAAACAGCTAAATTTAAGGAAATGAAGATATAATGGAATGGTAGAGTTAACTATGTTTCTTTCGTCTTTCAAATGCTTGAAAGACGAAATTAGCAGTTAGCCTGCTGATATGTGAATCAGTATTGTTAAAAACAAAACAGACTTTATCATGGATATTGTAATTTGTAAATAATGTATTTTAGTAATTGATTTTAATAAAAAGAGTCTTTCTCCGGTTATGTGCTCCTGCACTGGCTAAACCTGCAACTAAGGGACCAGTCATTATTTATCGCCTGGGGATGGGGGGGGGAGGGATTTAGGGCTAAACAATGTGAAATTTAGCTGATCCCCCCTTTGAATGTTACTTCACTGAAGTGATCCCCCCTAATAACATTTGATGACTTTTGTGATCCCCCCCACATGTCTTCATTCTCCAAGCAAATTTGAGTGGTCCCCCCTCTGAATCCTTCCAAAGTTTTCGGTGATCCCCCCTTTTGGGTTCTCAGTCACGACTGATCCCCCCTTTTGTTCTCCTAAAAATCAAGTGATCCCCCCAAAATCCTCCCCCCCAGTCCCTAAAGAAGTCCTGTTAGCGTAAAATTCCAACGATAATCTTTGCACCTTGAACTGGGGTTTTGATGGTTGTAAGGGCTGTTCTCTCTACTCATCATAATCAATTAATTTTGCAATTCTCCTCAATTTTTTTTTACTTTTATATTGTATACGTAATTCCAATGATAAATTGTGTCCCCAAATTAGTATGGGGTTTTTCCCAAGCTATACAAGTATCCACATTCTTAGGCCATTTCCAGGTTGTCCCAAGCCTTTCCCAAGCCTATTCTTGAAGGCGAGTTGCCCCCCCTACCCTACTCCCTCGCTGTTTTTTCCTGCTCACTTCTCTTCACAACGTCCCCACATACTGAACGCCTGGAACAGGCTACAAGGCGAGAATAAGAGCGAAGTTATTGACTTAAAAAAAAAAAAAAGAATCGCCAAAAGGCGATTTAAACTGGGCTGCCAATTTTCCAGGGGGAGGGGGTGGCTGCGCTCTTAGGCCGCAAGGCTTGTTGATGTCTATTGAGGTGACGTATCATCTCATGTGAGGGTTAAATAGTTACTCAATCCACATTTGAAAATTGTACCCTTTTGGAAGACTTTCGTAACAAGAAAAATGAGTACCATTTTTAGTCGGGGCTGTATAGTACCTTTTTCAAATTCCACCATTGTGAATAAAAATAAGCAAGTGAGCCATTCTAAGCAGGAAACAATAAGCGTTATTTTCACGTACCCTTCCCCCAATCCCTCTGCTCCCCAATATATAGCGTGAGCAATAGATTTCGCCAGTGCTAATGTATGTGAAAAGGGTACCATTTGTTAATAGAAGGTATATAAAAGGAGTACCTTTCCTGTCAAAATGGCATATATAAGAGAGTGATAGGTTGGACTTCGGGCTCCACCCCCACCCTGTGCGATAACAGAGTATCACTTGATACCAAACGTGACAAATTCCTGTTCCAGCTAACTAGTGTTCGAACAACATGGCCGACTTATCGCAACCCATCGCGGCAGATCCTGCTAAACATCGTGACGAACTTTTTCAGCGTCTAGATGCCCTGAGAGAAAAAGAAAGCTTCTGTGACGTAACAGTTGCAGTGAAAGGCAAAGAATTCAAAGCTCACAAAGTGGTGCTAGCTGCAGCAAGCCCCTTTTTCCTCTCACTTTGGGAAAGCAACATGATAGAAAGTAACGAACAACTGATCGAAATCAAGCTTGAAGATGCTACTGCTTCCATCATGGAAGACGTGCTGCAGTTTATTTACTCTGGAAATGTTACTGTTACCGAGGAAAATTGCCACAAATTGATCGCAACTTCGGATTATCTTCTTTTACCCGGATTGAAAACATTGGCATCTAGTTTCTTGGAAGATAATTTGACAATTGAAAACTGTATCTTCAATTACTATTTTGCCGAGAAATATCATTGTGCAGAGCTCAGTGAAGTCTCTTGTAAGACCATTTATGCAAATTTCACTGATGTGATGGAGACAGAAGATTTTCTGAACCTTGAAATGAAGCAAGCCATGGAGTGGGTGTCTAGTGATGACATTGATGTCAGTGATGAGGAAGCTATATTCACGGGAATTGTCAAGTGGGTGTCTCACAACAGGAATGAAAGAGAAAGCTGTTTTCCTGATTTATTGCGCCAAGTCCGCATAAGGTCCTTATCACTTGAATTTATTCTTAAGAAATTGTTGCATGAAGGAAGAGCTAGTAACTAGAAATAATGACTGCTTAAACTTTGTTGTGGAATCCATGGAGTCAGTTTTCATTGCTGCAGATAAGAGTCTTACTAAAGCACCAAGAAAGTGTCAGAGGGTACTTGTGGAAGCAGTTTTTGTGTGTGGTGGCAGAAAAGCTTTGTGTTATCTCCCAGATGAAAACAAATGGTATTTTATTGCAAACATAATTTTTGATCATCAGCACCATGCTGTTTTGCAATACAGGGATAAACTTTACATTTTTAGTAAGCAAACATTTCCAGACAAACAGTCACAAGAAAAAAGATATTTTGAGCAGTCACATGTAGCAGAATTTTATGTACCTTCGACCAATACCTGGGGTTCCATTCAGACAAGATTGTGTTATTCAGATGAGAAATTTTCAAGTTTGTCAGTCCTGAATGGATTTTCATCCTTGTATGCTGTAACTGAATCAGCCACTAGCACTATGAATGGAATTTTTGCATATGATGTTGACAACAATGAGTGGGCGTTACTTGGAGCTGAAGATGAATTTATTCAAGATCGTTGGGGAGCTTGTGGCATAGCAGCTGGATGCCATCTTTACATTATAGGTGGTACAAACAAAGGGGATTTTCCAGCTACCGGTATTACCAAAGTGGAAAGGTTTGATCCAAAGGAACATGAATTAGAAGAGGTTGCACCTTTGACAGAGGCAAGGCATGATGCATTTGGAGCAGCCATGAATGGCAAGATCTATGTGGCTGGTGGAATTCAGATGAGAGAACAGAGATGTAGACTTCTCAACACATGTGAGGTATATGACCCATCAACCAATGAATGGCATCTGATTGCAGACCTCTGTGTACCACGTCATTCTGCAAGCATGGTGAGCTTCAAAGGAGCTCTGTATGTCATTGGTGGTTTAAAGAACACCAACAATACCTCTACACTGAGAGAGTTGTCAGTTGAAATGTTTGATTCTGAGACAAGTGAATGGAAGGAGAAGGGCTCCATACCTGTTAGTGGTGAAAGCAGTGAAGAGAGATATAAACAAATACACTACAAAGCTTCTTTTGCAACAATTCATGAAGATGTATTTACAGTAGAGAATATCATTAGTGTATGATCTCACTGCAAGGCCAGTCTAAAGAGGTGTTGGTACAAGCATGTCAATTTGGGGATGAGGAGAAGGCTTGTGAGAAGGACCAACATTAATGTTACTCACTTTCATTTACCAATGACCTAGCTTTATTTGCAAAAGTATGGTTTCAGAAAGCAATGAAGTTGTGAAACCAAATTCTTAATAAATAATAATAATATTAATTAAGAATTTATAACGTGCCTTTTCCATGCAAATATGATCAAAGGCAATTGCATTAAATTGACTCGTAAAATGTTTTGTTGCTTTTCAATTATCTGTTGGTCATTTGAACTTGATCTACAGTCAAACATCTATTTAACAGTCACCCTCGGGAATCGGCCAGGTGACCGCTTAATAAAGGTTGACCACTTAGAGAGGTTTTCTAAAAATACGCCCATTATGTGATAGAAATTGATCTAGAGGTCAAAACTGGTCACTCTATATACAATTCATTGTTCACAACATCAGTCACGTGAAATGTGATAAAAGTATTTGAAAGTTCTGAGGAATTCACGCCTAAACAACAAATATTACAGTAATTTCATTCATAAGATAAGTGTCTTTGCAATCAAGCACATCATCAGCAATTTTATAATCTCATTCAACATGAATGAGGCCTACGAACAGGAAAAAGGTCAAAGTCAGGCGGCAAAGAGTAAACAGAGGCAGTGGCTAATTGGCCTCATGAGGCTCCTTGCAATTGTATGAGTTTGAAGGTGACAGCTTTTCTTGTGGTTGGCTGCAATGGAAACTCGTTGTGTAAAAGAGGAATTCAACGTACCATAGTACAGAGACTCAGATTACAATGTTACCTTGGGTTTGATAAGATGGAAAAGAAACTGGACATGCCTCACTTATTATCTTGTTAAAAAATATACCTGATTTATTGATAATTATTGTTATGTTACAAGGTGACTGTTATACAGTGGTAAATTACAATAATTTTTAAATTAGCCATTTGGGAAATCTAAACAGTGACTGTGTCTGCTTAACAGTGGTGACCGTTGAATAGAGGTCAATTTTCAGTAAATATGGGAGGAAAATTTAGGGAAATTAATAGACGGCTGCTACCCTGGGTACCAGAGGTTAATTTTTCTTTCATGCGAAGGGGAACTTCATTTCGTCGGCCTCAGGCCGACACGTGTTCGGTAGAAGGCCGAAGACTTGAGCAGTGAAGCCGCAAGGCTTTTCGCATTGGTCACTTTTTAAGACTTGACTGAAACTGGAAACTGCGCATGAAAAGCCTCTAGCACCCAGCATGCAGGGTGGATGACTGGTTAATAGAGGTTTGAATGTAGTAATGGATTTGCATAATGCAATGGTGATCTATTCATTTTTGTTCAGGGTGACTTGATTTGAGTGCCCATATTGTGGTAATATTAAATGGTACTGGTATAACAATATCTTTATATTATTGCTGGCATTATTGATTCATCATGTGACATTTAAGGGGATATTTCAGCCTTTGCGTGTAATGCAGTTTTGAGCAGTAGTGGATAAGGTTTTGTCAACAAAATTATCAATAGTTTAAAATACTGTCTTGTTCCTACGAAATTATTATTGGCTCTGGAAGTGACAAGGTATATTTACTGCATTTTAATTTATTGACTTAGAAAAGAATTGAAAGACCACTAATTTGTTTACAATTTTTAGATAGGTAAATAAATTTTTATATTACGATAATCCTAAAACGATGTGGGTTCCTTTAACCTATCAGCTAATTATGCAGATTTCCTCTGAGATAAGCATTGCCCAAGTCATCTCCTCCCTTATGTGGAATTGTTGACATTTTTATTTCCATTAAGTCTCTTTTCCTATGATTTCTCAAAAGGGAGAAATGTTTTAGCTTGAATCACAATTTCCTTTACAGGGTCCACAAGAAGGATTGGAAATATTTCATACAAACATGCATGTTAGTGAATTCTGCTGAACTACATTTCATGCGACAAAATTAACTCTGTAAATACAGTTGAACCTTTTCATAACAGCCACCTGAGGGACAGAAGAAAGTGGCCATTGTAGAGATGTTTAAATAAGAGTCAATCTGTGGACTGTCCGCCCAAAAAAGTGGCCGTTGTGGAGAGTTATGCTGTTAGTGGAGGTTCAACTGGTAAAAGGAAATCTTCTATGATATCCTCTATCACTAGAGCACAGTTTATTTGCTTGCAAACACGTGCTTGACTGTTAAAAGTTTTCACTGGAACTTTCTTGCATAAGTTGGTTAGAAATAGACTGCAAGAATCAGGCATTTTCTCTCTTGTGCTCAAAGATCTGTGAGGAAGGGAAATATGTTAGTGTGTGACAGTGGGTTGTGGGAGTGCCCTCTCAAATTTCTGTTCGCAGCTTTGCTGCTCACACACGGGCTCACTCACAGATTTTTTTAGCTAAACCCAGGGAGACTGTTTAAAGATGACAGAGCTATTTGCCATTAATTTTATGGCTATGCGTTGCGGGATTATTGCTCAAATATTTGATACGGAAAGAAAATACAGTATAAGACATTTTATTGCACCCTCCATTCCACCCCTCCAATTCCCCCCTGCCACAACCACAACCCACCCCAGCCCATTTCTCGTTCCCAATCTTTTCTCCTTATTCCAAATCGAGGCCATCTTAACTTATCACAACCCATGATGGAAGATCCTGCAAAATACTATGAAAAACTTTTTGAGCGTCTTAATGCTCTAAGAAAACAAGAAACCTTCTGCGATGTAACTGTTGCAGTGAAAGGCAAAGAATTCAAAGCTCATAAAGTTGTGTTAGCCGCAGCAAGCCCATTTTTCCTTTCACTTTGGGAAAGCCACATGCATGCTAGAAAGCAACGAACCACTGATCGAAATCAAGCTTGAAGAGGCGACTGCGTCTGTCATGGAAGAAGTGCTGCAGTATATCTACACTGGAAATGTTTCAGTCACCGAAGAAAGCTGCAATGAGTTGGTTGCAACGGCGGATTACCTTCTTCTACCAGGATTAAAATCATTAGCTTGCGATTTCTTGAAAAAGAAACTGGCCATTGATAACTGTGTCTCTACGTATTATTTTGCCGACAGGTATCACTGTGCAGAGCTAAAAGAAATGAGTTGTTGGGAAATTAATTTAAACTTTACTGCTGTGATGAAAACGGGAGATTTTCTGAACCTTGACTTGAATCAAGTCATGGAATGGGTCTCTAGTGATGACATAAAAATCAGTTATGAGGAAGAAGTTTTTGATGGAATTGTCAAGTGGGTGTCTTACAACAAGAGTGAAAGAGAGAGCTGTTTCTTTGACTTGTTGCGCCAAGTCCGCCTGAATTGTGTATCCCAAGACTTTCTTCAGGGTAAATTGGTGAAGGAAGAACTTGTAACTACAAATAACGCCTGCTTAAACTTTGTTTTGAACTCCATCGTTGCCGCACATGAAAGTCATTTCAAACCACCAAGGAAATGCCTTAAGCATTACGTTGAAGGGATTTTTGTGTGTGGTGGTAGGATAGCTTTGTGTTACTGTCCTGATGACAATGAGTGGTATCAGATGAGCGGCATGGCATATGAACATCAAAACCATGCCGTCATTCAGTACAAGGATAAAGTTTACATTTTTAGCAAACAAAATGTACATTCGATTGAGTCACATGTTGTAGAATATTATGTACCTTTATCAAACTGCTGGGGTTCAATTCAAACAGACTTTGACTACGAAGAACAATTTTCAAGTGTATCATCACTGAGTGGTTCTTCATCCTTGTTTGCTTTAACCAACAGTACTGAAATTCCTGAAAACACAATATTCACCTACAATCCTGCTGAGAATAGCTGGGAGATAAAAGGAAGTACATCTTCTAGAAATCGATGGGGAGCATGTGCTGTGGCAGTGGGAAATCACCTTTATATTATAGGTGGTAGTAATTGTAGCGATACTGTACCAAGTGGAATAACTAAAGTTGAACGATTTGATCCAAGAGAGGAGAAGCTGGAAGAGGTTGCGTCCTTGAATGAGGGAAGACATGACGCATTTGGAGCAGCCATGAATGACAAGATCTATGTGGCAGGTGGAATTCAAAAAAATGACCAGACTCTGACACTACTTAGCACATGTGAGGTATACGACCTATCAACAAATGAATGGCATCTGATGGCAGACCTCTGTATACCTCGTCATTCTGCAAGTATGGTGTGCTTTAAAGGAGCTTTGTATGTCTTTGGTGGCTTGAAAAATACTCGCAGTTATCTCCAAACCCGAGAGTTGTCAGTTGAAGTATTTAATTCTGAAACAAAGCAGTGGAAGGAGAACAGCACCATACCTGTTTGCCTTGAAAGTGATGAAGAGACAAATAAACAAATACATTACAAGGCTTGTTTTGCAACTATTCACCATGATGTCTTGTTGGATCGCATTTACCTTTGACAGACAATTATTTATTCTCTTCCTGAGTTGATCTCTAGAGATATTATTTTGCCAACTATATAAGACTCAAAAGTTAGAACCACCATGTACAGCATGAAGTAAATTGTAATTTGTTTACCCACTGAGCACTTAGAAGTTCATATGAACTTGTTTAAACATGTCCGTGTTTTCCAGATCGAATTGGAATTTGGACGTGTTGGTTTTTGAGGAGAGGGGAAAACTGGAGCATGCACAGAGAAAAACCTCTTGGAGCAAACTCAACTCACATGGTGTCGATGTCAGGATTCGAACCCTGGTCACATTGGTGGGAGGCAAGACAGTGTTCTCACCATGGCGCCACACTTGCTTTATGAGTAAAAAGCACCACCCAAGGGACTGCTTAGTAGCTTTCTCACTGGACTATACATGAGAACTACATTTTACTCAATTATCCATATTAAAACATATTGACTGTGGAGGAAAGGTTTTGGTCAAGCAAGTGTCAAGGACCCCCCCCCCCCCAAGATTCCAGTAATGAATTTATTGTTCAAAAGTTGAATTCGGTAGTCGTTGCTGCAACCAGTATCAAACTCAAATCTGTATACCTGCATAATGAGCAGTGCATTTTTTTGATAACTCCTCTGTATTGGCCCTGATTGAAAAATCTTTGAATGCATAAAATTTCTTTGAAGACATTAACATTAAACTCAAGAAAACTGACCTGGTAAACATTTATAAATGAATCTGAAATCTACAGCTACCAATGAATTCAACTTTCGTATAATAAATTCATTTATGGAATCATGAGGGTCACTTTAGCTGGCTTGACTGCAACAAGGAGCAGATGTAGTTCTGTTGTTATATCTCAGTTTGTAACTGGAGTTTTACTCTGTGCTAGTGGCTACTGCATGAGGTAGCACAGAGGAGAGGTTTTTTTTAATTTGCTGACTTTTTCCTGAAAAATGTACATGTAAAATTTCCCTGACGAAGTGAATTACCAATATTCACAAATTAGTCCTGATAATGGACTCAACTCTCCCCTCACAGCCACTACTCGCCCCTTCGCTTGACAACCGCTACCCATCTATTTATACTGAGCTTTTAGCAAGTCACATGTAATGTAAATGAATTGATAGTTCCTTAACATAATGTGAAAAAAGGATTGATTTTTTAAAAACCCAACATCAGCTTGTTGTTAAAACCTCTTTCAAATTTTCCCTGACTCGAAGTGAAATTCCTTGACCCTGAAGAAATTTCATTTTCCCTGACCATTTTCTGGCCTTGTGGCAACCATGTAATCTGATAGATAGTGTCTTTTTTGTATCAAAAGCACATAATTATTAAAAAATAAGTAAATATACTTTATTGGCTGGCATAATTGCAGGTGGACCCAGAAGTTTACACTTTGGCCCAGAAAGAATCATGTAAAGGCTATTTGTAATACAATGCATGGTATATCATCACAAGAAGTTAAACGGGAAAAAGCTTAAAATGGATAAATATAGTCATCTGGTACAATACAGTCGATGAAAATTATGCTTAGAAAGGTACTTTAAAATTCCCTCATAATACTTAAATATTTGCTATTTTTCTTAAAGTTGCTTTCAATTGACATGTTGGTTAAGGTCGTACAGACAGTTCCACAGGCGAGTCGCACTCGCATGAAATGTTTGACCGGCATCTTAATATAGCCAAAGCATTATTGAAAGGAGATCGAGTGTTCTAGCTATGGGTATTTTGAAAATACGTTCTATGATTAGTGAAATAATCTGGACATATATTCCCCGTTTACAATTTTGAACATCAGGCAAAGTTTCCTTACTTATAGTTATTAAATAGTATCATTTAGTCAATCTGCAGCCTTTGTTGTTTCTACTGTTTCTACACATCCTACTGTCTGATGTGTTGCTTGTGTTTAAATGTTTTTGCCACTTATGTGTCAACTAGCCGCTTCAGCAATGTTGATCAGTTGTTGAGCACTTTGTAAGTGATCAAGTAACAGTTCCTAATGCTCTCATCATGGGGATGGGTGTATAGTTCTCGCTGCTCTCTGTTTACGAGACTCCATCTTCCTGCTTTCTCCATTTCCTCAAATTTGGTGCGGTAACCAAGTTCTACAGGATCAAATGAGTCTGCACGTATGGAAAAAATAAATAGACCACCTAGGAAAAGATCAGCAACAAAAGATTAAAAACCATGCTGGACAAAAAGTTGGGCAATATTTTCCACACTTTTTTTCTAAATAAAAAAATTCTTTTTCAGAGACAAGGTGATCAAACTAGTGATTGACAGAAATGATCAATCAACAGAACTTTTTCCATGATGCATTACAAACATACTGTTTAAAAAAGGAACAGTGCTGACATACGCAGTGAGTTCTGAAACTTCTCATTCTTTGATTAATTGTTTTGGGTACAGATAAGATGACATGTAAATAAAATTGTACTACAAAAAAATCTTCATTTTCAAGACTGTTTCCAGGTTAGTTTGAAATGATATCAGCTTTCTCCACCCCCTTAAAGTGCCCATCACCTAAAATTTTATATTTTCTTATCTGAAACAATACCTTCTTTTCCTGTCGATAAGGTCACGTGTTCGTTAAAGTACGTCATATGATGTCCTACTCCGAGAGAAGACTAAGACGAATGGTGTGCCAAAATGGTGCCAAATTTGAACGTTTTTGAAAAATTCTAAAAAAAATCGTCTTTGGTTCAAATCGCAAAATTTTTTCACAGAAGTAGTATTTTAATAAGGTGTAGTTTCAGATAAAACAATAAAAAATTTTAGGTGATGGGCACTTTAACTGGTAACCCGTGGGAAGCACGGGGCAGATCGTGATGAGTGGAGATGGCCGACTGCAAACTATTTCCAGGCCTGCAAAACTGCTTTGCAAATTTCAAGACTGGAGTTAACCTTGGTCAATGTATTTAGCAGTTTTTAGGTTCCTTCTGGAGACAAAACCATTTCTATTTTCTTTCTAGTCATGATCTGAGCCAAGTGAAGGTCAACCCCACTTCCTGCCCCTCCCCTCTCCCCTCTCTTGTCCCCCCCCCATCTCCTCTCTACCTACAGTAGGTTTTGAATGGCCTGTTGAGAGCCTAATGTACTCTAACCAACAAAAACAGCAATCTCCCCCACTCCTTGCCGCTAGGGATGTGACGTCCCTAGTGACAAGAAGCAAATAGAGACATTCTTGTATTACCTGGTCTTACATGACGGACACACTCATCCAGTGCTATCGGCTTTGCTTGTCCATAGACTATAGTACCTGCACACAGTGTTACATCATACTCGCCAGTCTGTATGTCATCAATGGGGACGTCACTCAATGCAGCACAGATATATCGCTTGTAAACATTCCTCTGTTTCGCTAAATTCAACATTTCTTCAGAAATGTCCAAGGCATCAATGTTCCTATACCCTTGCTGCACCAGCATTTCACCAATGATTCCTGTGCCGGCCCCAGCATCAAGGATTTTGATATCCTTGTTAGCTTCAGGGAAAATGTCTTTAGACCGCATGGCTTTATTGAAAGCCTCAACACACAGGACATGCCCTTTGTAACCAAGTTTGTGTGTATCCTAAAAGAAAAAAAAAATAGTATAGACAGTATTATGGCAAAACTACTTCATCACTATTACAGTCAAATTCCATTAATACAGGGGCACCCAACGACGGTTTCCTCCTAATTGCATTGAAAACACTTTTTAGGTTATCCAGAGTACTTTTAGATCAGTAAAAATGTATTCTAAGAGGCGCTAAAAAATTTTTATCTGTTCGGTCATCCTGGGGCAACTTGAGTCTTTTAGAAATTACAACGGCTTCAGTATTATTTTCCCAAAAACTTTAGCTGCAATATAAAGTTTTACGAAAGTGACAATTTTTCTGATTCCTCTCTGCATCGTATTTTCGATTCCGAAAAAGTTAGGTTCCCTTTCTCTACGAAAAATAGCTTAACCTGGGAGTGACATGGGAAAAATTAAACTTCAGAAAACTGTAGGGAATTTATTAGATAAGCTTTGAAAATTGTACATGAATGGAACGGTCATCTAGAAGTTTGTAGCCTTCCCAAGCTTTAGAAAATTCTAGGTAATTTTTGCTTCTCCGAACAGATATTTCACAGAAAACAGCCATTGGGTGCCCCTGATTAATGGGGACACTGAGGAGGCCATAGAAAGTGTCTCTGTTGACTGGGTGTCCATATTATTAAAGAGGGTTGAATTTAGAGAAAATGTAAGGGCTTTCTTTCGCCTGGGACAAAACAAACTGTCTACAATAAAAAGGTGTCTGTCTTAAGCGGGTGCCCGTTAAGCAGGTATTGACTGTTTACTAAGTTTATTTTCCCTCATTACAGTCTTGTACACCACTTTTCATGGTCTCTTTACTTATGACGGGGACATGGCCACGGGGGGGGTTTTTAGCAATTTCTGGGTGGGGATGTGCCGCTGGGACCCTCAAACCCTTAACCTGTACCAGAGCTAGTTCGGCTGAATTTTGCTACCCTATACTAGAGTAAACTCCCCAAATCCCCCCTATCCTAGAGTAGCTGTTTTCAAGAAACTACTGAGGTCACTAGCACTGTCTAGCCAAAACAAAACCCTATACCACAATCCCTAGTCTAGATAAAATCTTCAATCAACTCATCAGTTTCCTAGAAAATGATACCCTATTCTAGACCCAAATGCTCTGATTTATATACGCTATCCTAGAGTAAACTGTTTGAAAAACCATACCCTTCACAACAGCACATACCTATATAGCCCATATTATATGGCAGTACCCCTGGGGGCATGGCCTACGCCTCAAAATGCGAAATGACCATATTTAAAATTCAGACTAGGGACATACATACACCCCCTAAGAGAGCCTCTTTAATTTTTCTAAAAAGTACAACATACCTCTTCATAAGTTTTTGCCCAATCATCAAAAGTTTTTTTGGCATCCTTTAATGCTGAATTTGTGATCACTTCTAAAATTGCCTTGTTGTTAGGTGCAACAGCCATTATTAGTGAAAACCACCAACAAATTCTTGAAAAAAAGGAAAAGCAATATAATATTGGATTTACTCAACCATGTTGGATAAATACACAGGCGACACTTTGATGACCAGGCTAAAGGCTGAACGTTTTTTTGGCCTATGCATGCTGCTGCTGTGTTAATGGAAATGGTCCTCTTTGATGAAATTCTCAAGAAGGGTTTACGTGTTACTATCACTGACAAAGTCAAGGTCATACATCATCTCATCTTGGGTAATCTGTTATATTGCTTATGTGCTGTAAATAAAGCTATAAGATCCTTCAGATTACTTAAATATAAAATCAGTTCCCCTGTAGGACAACATTGATGACCTCAAATTCTTTGAACACATTGCCATCGACATAAACTCCCTGGCCTCAAACTGTAGGGTTTTTGTGACTGCTAATGGTGATAATCTACTGTGGTGCCACTGTGTTTAGTCCAATCAAAGAGGGTGTAAACTATTGATCATCTGATTTCAAAGCGTCTCCTCCCAATTCTCAGCACATGCAGCTTTCCAGTTCCTCTGCCAAAACTTTGCTCGCTCTAAATAATAATCAATCCCACCGGCTACATTCAAAAGGACGTATATTTATATTAAACTAGTATCCACTGGAAAGAGAGGAGAAGTCGTCACGTCACATTGCCATGGTAGCAAAGTTTTGGATGACAACAAATCAAAATGTCGCTGAAAAAGTGGATTCGACTCTTTGAACTTCATCGATCTTAGGTAAAAAATTTCATTTAATTTGTCAAATGTTGGCGAAATCTTCTGGGTTGAATGCGAAAGGACCATCTCTAAGTTTAGAACAAAAAAATTTTTGTGTTGTGCTTACCTACTCCATAAAGTGGGCAAGTGAAATTAGGAAGTTTCATCCAGTCGTGCAACAATGGCTAAGAAATGTACAAAAAAGCGTAATACACATGCAAAGTTGTTCTTTTGCCAATCTAAACCTATTGCTGTTGTTGTGATCCAGAAATATTGCTCCCATGGTAACATGACGTCACACTTCTCCTCTCGCCATCAGTATTCCCAATGAAGATCCCAGGGGAATTTGACCCTTTGTCTTCTCATAGGCCGCATCTGGGGATTATGGCATGACCCGCTTTAGGAAAACAGGGATACCAGCTGGTTTACAGAATCTTGCGTTTTTCAGGCTAGCAAAGACGAAACCGAAGCGGGCGAAGGACGCGAGAGTCGAGACACACTCGAAGGAACACCCGCCTCGCGTTTTTCTTTGCTCGCCTTAAAAAAAGCGAAAAAATAATCTTGTTCTGCGGGCCAGCGTGGCAAGGCAAGTACTACCGAAACAGAGAAGAGAATTCGGGCGCGCGAGAACGTGAAAAAGGTCTCATGTTCTTGCATTTTACATTACCTAGGCCCGTATATTAGAAGACGTCCATTCGTAGGTCATTCGTTCCATCCGACTGTTTCCGACCTTTATTCCCGACCAATTTTCCCCGTTCGGTCCAGTGCCCAACGTTCCCGTAATGCGGAAGATGAGGAATGTGTTCTAAACTTCCGGCAACATGGCCGACCTGACTGAACCTATGACGGCAGATCCTGCAAGACATCGTGAAGACCTGCTTGAACGTCTCGATGCTCTGAGAAGAAAGGAAACCTTTTGCGATGTGACGGTTGCAGCGAACGGTAAAGAATTCAAAGCTTATAAAGTCGTTCTAGCTGCGGCCAGCCCGTTCTTCCTTTCGCTTTTGGAAAACGACATGAGAGAAAGAAACGAACAACGGATCGAAATCAGGCTTGAAGAGGCGACTGCTTCCGTCATGGAAGACGTGCTAGAATACATCTACACTGGAAATGTTTCCGTGACCGAGGAAAGCTGCCACAATTTGATCGCAACAGCGGATTATCTTCTTTTACCTGGATTAAAAACATTGGCTGTTGACTTCTTGAAAGAGAAAGTGACAGTTCAAAACTGTGTCTTCAATTATTACTTTGCGAGCAAGTATCATTGTACGGAGCTGACAGAAATCTGTTGCAGCGTGATCAATTTGAATTTCAGTGATGTGCTGAAAACTGATGATTTTTTGAACCTTGACATGAAGCAAGTAATGGAATGGGTGTCTAGTGATGACATAAATGTGAGAGCAGAGGAAGAAGTATTCACGGGAATTGTCGACTGGGTGTCTCACAACAGAAGCGAAAGAGAAGTCTGTTTTCCTGATTTGATTCGCCAGGTCCGCCTAAGACCTTCATCACAAGACATTCTACTAAAGAAACTTGTAAATGAAGATCTTGTTACTACGAATATTGAATGCATGAACTTTGTCTTAAGATCCATTGTTCACTCAAATGAAAGTCTTTCCAGAGAACCAAGAAATTGCTTGAAGTTGCAAGTGGAAGGAATTTTTCTGTGTGGTGGCAGGAAGGCCTTGTGTTATCTTCCCCAAGTAAATATGTGGTATAAAATGGCAAACATGTCTTTTGAACATCACAACCATGCTCTCCTACTGGACCAGCAAAGGGTTTACATTTTCAGTAAGCAAGATACAGGTATTCAATCTCATTTAGTGGAGTACTATGTGCCTTCCACAAACCTCTGGTGTTCATTTCAGTCAGGCTTTAAATATGATGAGCAATTCTGTAGTGTGTCAGCAGTAAGTGGTTATTCATTTTTTAATGCTTTAACCTATGCTGAACAACTTCCTTACATGTACACATATGACATTAATACTAATAACTGGAATATGCACAAACATGCACCTACAAATCAATGGGGAGTCTGTGTCATATCACAGGGACATCACATTTATATAATAGGTGGTACTGATACTGAAGATGACGTAGCTGCTGGAAATACTAAAGTGGAAAGATATAATCCAAGTAATGAGAGTGTTGAAGAGGTTGCACCTTTGAATGAGGCAAGGCATGATGCATTTGGAGCAGTTATGAATGACAAGATATATGTTGCAGGTGGAATTCAGATGAGAGAACAGAGATGTAGACTTCTCAACACATGTGAGGTATATGATCCATCAACCAATGAATGGCATCTTATGGCAGAACTCTGTGTACCACGTCATTCAGCAAGCATGGTCTGCTTTAATGGAGCTTTGTATGTCATTGGTGGTTTAAAGAATACCAGCAATCAAGTAGCAACGAGGGAGTTGTCTGTTGAAATGTTTGATTCTGAAACAAGTGAATGGAAGGAGAAGAGCACCATACCTGTTGGTGATGAAAGTGGAGATGAGAGAGATAAACAAATACACTACAAAGCCTGTACTGCAACAGTTCATAAAAATGTGATAGTGGAAGAGAATCTCATTGATGATGTGGCACACACAGAAAAATGTAGCTACTAGGTCAAACTTTGAATTATGACTGCAAGGCTAGTCCACAGCGAGTGGAGGAGTTATGAAAGATTTAATTCATTTTGCCATTATTCAAACCACCAAAAAATTGTACTGTGAAAATTGGCAGACCCTATATTTGTTTTATGCTCTTTCAATCTCCTTTTTTTAGGGTTATATCTCATGATTTTGGCATGAGTTAGTTCACCTGACCCCTAGAAGGTCCCACATCAACCTTCTGAACACTAGTGTTAATATTTTTTAAAAAATCAAAGTTTGGCCACGCATAATGGGTAAAGTAAGTTCATCACCATGTAACCTGATAAACTTCTTTTAACAAACAAGGTTTTGGAAAAGGAGCGTAGTATGTACTGTTCTGTTTACACATTAATTTTGTTCTTCTTCAGACATTACCTTGCCTACAAGTGCATTAACCAATGAAATACAGTAGAATTTTGAACCCAAGTTTGAAAAAAACAATAACCAAGGAAATTTTATTTTGTTCTTGCTTGTTGTTCAGCTGCTGAGTGATGTAATGGAGTTGACATTTTTATAACAGATTAGAAACTAAACTTAAGCACCCCTTGAAGTTATGATGGGTGGCCATATTTTTCTAGACATCAATAGGCCATTTTCAAGTTGTCCCAAGCCTCTGCTTCATAATGAGGCTGAGTGTGAAGCTATTGATATGAAAATATTATTTTTTATTCTCATGCAAATAAAACTTATTTTCACAAGAAAGATTTTGCACTTAGCTTATAGCCTCATTTTTAAAGTGAGAGTTTTGGAACTCAGAAATGGCCTATTGCAGACATTACATAATACTTTGTAAAGAATATATCTGTGTAAAGAATAGGAGAAACTTTAAACATAGAATTTAGAGGTAATTTTAAAATCTTTCCTTCCCAAGAGTCTTGAAATAAAAAATCAATAAGATAATAATTTTCAGTTTGTTAAATACTGACTTACAATGGTTGTGATGGAAGAGGAACCGCTCTGATTAGCTTTTATTTGAATGCTATACGCTTAGGATCTCATCACAAAATTACCAAATTTATGAGAACTAACATTTAGCTTTTATCCGTGATTAACTCTAGGGAGGGTGAAATAGTATTTGTATAGGTAATAGCATGATTAGTAGTGATATTTGGCATAAATACCACGAGTGATATTGCAGAATTGTTATACGTAATTTCATGAGCCGTTAGGTGAGTGAAATTTGAGACAATTTGAAGTATCACAAGTGGTATTTATGCCAACTATCATACTACCCGCAAAAGGTTGTAATTTTCACATGTAGGTATTTCAAATTAAGCTGAAATACCACTGCTCTAAGCCAATCAAATTGCAGAAATTTCTCGTGTAGTAGTATAAACCACATAATAACGTTATGATTAAGGAGACAAATAAAAAAGTAGTGGTTTACACTTTTTCCTTGTTTTATTTTTTTCAAGTCATTACAGGATGTGGCTTAAATTATGTTAAGCATATTTCTTAAATAGACACCTTCCCTGGGTGAATTCAGAATTTTCACAAAGCGGGGGGTGTGAGACTTACCAGCCCTTAAACTATACATGTAGATACAATTTACTTTTTGGTAACAGAACTCCGAAAGCATCTGTATCCAAATAAGTAAAAGCTTTATAGACGACAGATGTTTTATACTGGGAATTCATTTACAATTTTTACACAATCTGAGACAAAATGGGGGAGAGGGGTTTGGGACCATCTAAATCAACCCATGGTTTCCCCCAGCTTGTGTGGTAAGCGCTCTAAAGGGAGAGGAGAATTTGAGAGCACCAGAACGCGAAGAAGGCCCTTCACATTCGTGCATACCAGTGTATTCACCTTTTTCATTTTGTCCCCAAGAGTGACAAACAGCAATTTTCTCTTAATAATATCTATACACAATCAAGAGAATAGGTTGTGAGAATTGATTAAATAATCAGCTGAGGAAAAAAGCATTTATTTTTTTATTCTCTTTACTTATTGTTTTTGGAAATGTATAGAGACCAGTTTGGAGAATTTGTATAAGGATATTGGGGCTTAAAGGATTAAACGCCTCCCAAGTGGGCTGTACTTTCTCCAGATAAATGCGGGAATGCTATCCATTTGGGGTATATTGTAAGAAATCACAAGCGAGAGGAATGCGGAGCGAGACGTGCGAGCGGGGGTAGGGGGGAAGGATATAAAGCTCTCCTTTCGTCCACCCTTAGGACTTTACAAACGGGTGTTAACCTTCCTCACTAATGCAGCCAACAGCTAAATTGTGGAGGAACCAGAGGGGTGGGATTAGACATGTAAAGGCGCGCTACGCTGCCACCTCAGTCCACATTAAATGCGATCAAATTTTGAACACACCTCGCTCACCCAGCTCAATGATGGCACAAAGTCAGATAAACTATCCACATCCCAGCCATATCCCTGCTCTTTTTGAAAAATATGCAGTCTTGCCAAGCCCCAAAAGGATAAAAATGTGAGATTCTGAACCTATAGCTGGGAAAAGTAGTGAGAAAAGTCGTGAGATGTCCCAAAGTTCCTAGTGGAATGACTTTCAGTGGAGATAATGGATATTGGAAGTCACTGGAGCAGTAACGATTTAGGTGTTGTAATTTCTATGTTTTGTTGGCGCCATCTTTAAACAAGAGAAACAGGAAGTCTACACATTTGGTGGCAGTTGCAAGTCGCGATAGGCTAAAAGAATGTAATCAAACGCGCCCGGTAAGCGTTTTCTTTGGGTTGAGCGGCTGTCTGTTGATATCTAACTTAAAAGCGAACCCCACAGCTCCAAAAGGTTTTGCAGTTTGACTTTTCGAGAAAGCATGAGAAATCTGTTGCCAACTCGTGAGAGCGTGAGACAGATCCTTTAATCGTGAGACTCACAACAAAGTCGTGAGACTAGGCAAGTCTGAATATGTCATGCATGGGTTTTTTACGTCCTCTTCCACGGATGCGCAAGGATGAAGGAACAAGGCCAACGTCTATGTCCCCTACTCTTTTAGTCGTGCTCTTTTTGAAAAATATTTCACGTTTGTTTACGTCCCTTCAAGGATAAAGGAACAAGGTCAGAGGCTTTATGTTACCGCCCAATAAGGCAATCATCTGAACTGAGAGCTGAGAAGGGATTTTAATCATAGCTGGCATGCCTCACCAGTCTTTTCAGGACCTTAGTTGCGCTGGTGCGGCGGGCTTTGAACCCAGATCCTCCCGCTCAGAAGACCCGCACACTTCCGACTGGGCTAACCAGGCGGCTCCTTGGGCGGCTCCCTGCCCTCTCCACACCTAACTTGCGTAGCAGGCGTTAAAGGGAGGAGGGGAAGGGTAAGAAAGAGAAGAAGGGAACGCCTGCTACAAAATCCGCGTCTTTTGCTTCTTTTATTTATCCCAGCTGTCACTTCAACGGCCAATCAGAAGTAGGCGCGCGTTTTTCTGCATAACTTCCCTTCCTTCTCTTTCCAATCCCCTCTCCCTTACTACCTCTTCTTCCCTTTCTCACCCCCCCCCCCCCACCCCGCTTTAATGCCTGCTACGCAGGCTACCCCCCCAACTTGCCCTTAGCAAAGAAGAACAACTTCACAAGAAAGAGCCTTTATTAGAGTCTTAGCATCTCAATAATAGTACTTTAACATGAAACTGTTGAGCTCTAAAGACAACATATAACTCGGGTCGCTATAGTTATTTGTCAAATAGAAAAGCACTCCTTAAAAACTACCATTCGTTTTCAGTGAAATATTAAAACGCGAGAAAGGCGAGACGCGGAGTCGCCTTTTCTCGCGTGGGGTGATTTTCACGCGCGCTCGCGTTTCGCTCGCTCTACTATCCCTGAGGAAAAAAAGGGGGACTGCTCGTAGTCTAGGAGTGAAAGGGAAAGCTGTGTTCCTGATCTTTTGCGGCAAGTCCGACTAAGGTCTTTGTCAAAAGATTTTCTTCTTAACAAATTAGTGAAGGAAGACCTTGTAACCACAAATATAGACTGCCTTAACTTTGTGATGGGTTTGTCGATTGACTACTCCGGGTTCTCTACAACTTCTATAATAGATTCATAAGTAATGATGTACCACTGCCCAGTGTCTACTGGCAGTATTTTGCCGTACGATTTGTGACCTCTAGTTTATGTTCCTACTGGAGAAAAAACCCTAACTTCCCATTTTCAAGTTAGTGGGTGATTTTATGTAAGGGCGAGGAAGTTTGAAGTCTATTTTTCAGCGACATTTTCATTGGCGTCGCCGTTGTGGGATCGTAAGGTCCCTGTTTACCTGTACCCTTTTCCCTTTGAATTCGTCTTCGTAAGAAGAAGTCGTCGAAGGTCGTAACCTCTCCTTACCTCTCCCAGCCGATTTTTACTGAGGGGAGGTAGGGGGGAGGGGGAGGGACTGTACACAGGTTTACCGAACGACTCCCAACATTCCGTTGTTCGGTCCAGGTCCCAATAGCGCGAGGTAGTGGTCTTTCACTTCCGCCAACATGGCCGACTTGACTGAACCCATGACAGCAGATCCTGCAAAACATCGTGACCAACTTTTTGAGCGTCTCGATGCTCTGAGAAGAAAGGAGACCTTTTGCGATGTGACAGTTGCAGTGAAGGGCAAAGAATTCAAAGCTTACAAAGTCGTTCTAGCTGCGGCCAGTCCGTTCTTCCTGTCACTTTTGGAAAGCGACATGAGGGAAAGAAACGGGCAACGGATCGAAATCAAGCTTGAAGAGGCCACTGCTTCTGTCATGGAAGACGTGCTACAATACATTTACACTGGAAATGTTACCATCACAGAGGAAAGCTGCCACAAGCTGATTGCAACCGCGGAGTATCTGCTTCTTCCGGGGTTAAAAGCGTTGGCTAGTGTTTTTTTGAAAGGGAAGTTGACAGTTGAGAACTGTGTTTTCAACTATTATTATGCTGACAAGTATCATTGCGAAGACCTGAAACGAGCATGTCGCACGGAGATTCATTCAAATTTCACTGCTGTGATGGAAACAGAAGATTTCCTTAACCTTGATATAAAGCAAGTCTTGGAATGGGTCTCTAGTGATGACGTAACAATCAGTAGCGAGGAAGAAGTTTTCGAGGGAATTGTCAAGTGGGTGTCTTACAACAGGAGTGACAGAGAAAGCTTTTTCCTTGATTTGTTGCGCCACATCCGCTTAAGATCCATACCACACGACTTTCTACTTAAGAAATTGGTGAAGGAAGAACTCATAACAAGAAATAATGACTGCTTAAACTATTTGCTAGGGTCCATGGAGTCAATTTTTATTGCCACAGATGAAAGTCTTAGCAAAGCACCAAGAAATTGCTTGAAGGTTCAAGTGGAAGGAATTTTTTTGTGTGGTGGCAGGAAGGCATTGTGTTATCTTCCCCAAGTAAATATGTGGTATCAAATGGCAAACATGACTTTTGAACATGAAAACCATGCTGTCGTACTCAACCAGCAAAAGGTTTACATTTTTAGTAAACAAAATACAGAAAGTCAGTCTCATGTATTGGAGTACTATGTACCTTCGACAAACCTCTGGTGTTCATTTCAGTCAGGCTTTGCGTATGATGAGCAATTCTGTAGTGTGTCAGCAGTGCGTGGTTATTCATTTTTGAATGCTTTAACCTATGCTGGACAACGTCCTTACATGTACACATATGACATTAATACTAATAACTGGAATATGCTAGAAGATACGCCTATAAATCGATGGGGAGTCTGTGTCATATCACAGGGACACCACATTTATATAATAGGTGGTACTAATTCTGGGGATGATGTAGCTGCTGGAAATACTAAAGTGGAAACATTTAATCCAAGTAATGAGAGTGTTGAAGAGGTTGCACCTTTGAATGAGGCAAGGCATGATGCTTTTGGAGCAGCCATGAATGACAAGATATATGTTGCAGGTGGAATTCAGATGATAGAACAACGATGTAGACTTCTCAACACATGTGAGGTATATGACCCATCAACCAATGAATGGCATCTGATGGCAGAACTCTGTGTACCACGTCATTCAGCAAGCATGGTCTGCTTTAATGGAGCTTTGTATGTCATTGGTGGTGTGAAGTTTACAGGTCGGGAATTGTCAGTTGAAGTATTTGATTCTGAAACAAATGAATGGAAGGTGAGGAGCACCATACCTGTTGGTGGTGAAAGTAGAGATGAGAGAGATAAACAAATACACTACAAAGCTTGTATTGCAACAATTCATAAAGATGTGTTAGTGGAAGAGAATCTCATTGACAATGTGACAGAGATAGAAACATCGTCTGTTGAGTTAAGCCGTAATGTGTGACTGCAAGGCTAGTCCACAGCAAGTGGAAGAGTTACATAAGATTTAATTCATTTTGCTCTTATTCAAACCACCATAAATTTGTACTGTGAAAATTGGCAGACCCTGTATTTGTTTTATGCTCTTTCAATCTCTTTTTTTAAGGGTTGTTTCTCATGATTTTGGTATGAGTTAGCTCGCCTGACCCCTAGAAGCAAAGTTCCCACATCAACCTTCTGAACACTAGTGTGAATATTTTTTAAAAAATCAAAATTTGGCCACGCTATTATGGGTAAAGTAAGTTCATTACCATATAACCTGATAAACTTCTTTTAACAAACAAGGTTTTGGAAAAGGAGCATAGTATGCATACTCTTCTGTTTACAAATTTGGTCTTTCTTCAGACATTACCTTAATAGGTTCATTTTCCTACAAGTGCATACCAATGAAATACAGTAGAATTTTGAACCCAAGTTTGAAAAAAACAATAACCTAGGAAATTTTATGTTGTTCTTGCTTGTTGTTCAGCTGCTGAGTGATGTAATGGAGTTGACATTTTTATAACAGAAGAAACTAAACTTAAGCACCCCTTAAAGTTATGATGGGTGGCCATATTTTTCCAGACATCAATAGGCCATTTGCAAGTTGTCCCAAGCCTCTGTTTCATAACGAGGCTAAGTGTGAAGCTATTGATATGAAAGTATTTTTTTATTCTCATGCAAATAAAACTTTTTTTCACAAGCGTTTAAAGTGAGAGTTTTGGAACTCGGAAGTGGCCTATTGCAGACATTACATAATACTTTGTAAAGAATATATCTGTGTAAAGAATAGGAGAAACTTTAAACATTGAATTTAGGGGTAATTTTAAAATCCTTCCTTCCCAAGAGTCTTAAAATCAAAAATCAATAAGAAAAATTAATAATTTTCAGTTTGTTAAATACTGACTTACAACGGTTGTGATGGAAGAGGAACTGCTCTGATTAGCTTTTATTTGAATGCTATACACTTAGGATTTCATCACAAAATTACCAAATTTATGAGAACTAACATTTAGCTTTTATCCGTGATTAACTCTAGGGAGGGTGAAATAGTATTTGTATAGGTAATAGCATGATTAGTAGTGATATTTGGCATAAATACCACGAGTGATATTGCAGAATTGTTATACGTAATTTCATGAGCCGTTAGGTGAGTGAAATTTGAGACAATTTGAAATATCACAAGTGGTATTTATGCCAACTATCATACTACCCGCAAAAGGTTGTAATTTTCACATGTAGGTATTTCAAATTAAGCTGAAATACCACTGTTCTAAGCCAATCAAATTGCAGAAATTTCTCATGTGGTAGTATAAACCACATAATAACTTTATGATTAAGGAGACAAATAAAAAAGTAGTGGTTTACACTTTTTACTTGTTTTATTTTTTTCAAGTCATTACAGGATGTGGCTTAAATTATGTTAAGCATATTTCTTAAATAGACACCTTCCCTGGGTGAATTCAGAATTTTCACAAAGCGGGGGGTGTGAGACTTGCCAGCCCTTAAACTATACATGTAGATACAATTTACTTTTTGGTAACAGAACTCCGAAAGCATCTGTATCCAAATAAGTAAAAGCTTTATAGACGACAGATGTTTTATACTGGGAATTCATTTACAATTTTTACACAATCTGAGACAAAATGGGGGAGAGGGGTTTGGGACCATCTAAATCAACCCATGGTTTCCCCCAGCTTGTGTGGTAAGCGCTCTAAAGGGAGAGGAGAATTTGAGAGCACCAGAACGCGAAGAAGGCCCTTCACATTCGTGCATACCAGTGTATTCACCTTTCCCATTTTTTCCCCAAGAGTGACAAACAGCAATTTTCTCTTAATAATATCTATACACAATCAAGAGAATAGGTTGTGAGAATTGACTAAATAATCAGCTGAGAAAAAATGCATTTATTTTTTTTATTCTCTTTACTTATTCTTTTTGGAAATGTATAGAGACCAGTTTGGAGAATTTGTAAGTGGATTTTGGGGCTTAAAGGATTAAACGCCTCCCGAGTGGGCTGTACTTTCTCCAGATAAATGCGGGAATGCTATCTATTTGGAGTATATTGTAAGAAATCGCGAGCGAGAGGAATGCGAAGCGAGACGTGCGAGCAGGGGTAGAGGGTAAGGATATAAAGCTCTCCTTTTCGTCCACCCTTGTGACTTTACAAACGGGTGCTAACTTTCCTCACTTGCACCAAACAGCTGAATTGTGGAGGAACCAGAGGGGTGGGATTAGACATGTGAAGGCACGCTACGCAGCCACCTCAGTCCACATTAAATGTGATCAAATTTTGAACACACCAAGCTCACCCCACTCAATGCTGGCACAAAGTCAGATAGACTATCCATATCCCCTACTCTTTTTGAAAAAAATGCACTCTTGCCAAGCCCCAAAAGGATAAAAATGTGAGATTCTGAACCTATAGCTAAGAAAAGTAGTGAGAAAAGTCGTGAGATGTGCCAAATTTCCTAGTGGAATGACTTTCAGTGGAGATAATGGATATTGGAAGTCACTGTATCACTTTAAAGCTGGAGCAGTAACGACTTAGGTGTTGTAATTTCCATGTTTTGTTGGCGCCATCTTGAAACAAGAGAAAGAGGAAGTCTACACATTTGGTGGCAGCTGCGAGTCGCGATAGGCTAAAAGAATGTAATCAAACGCGGCCGGTAAGCGTTTTCTTTGGGTTGAGCTGGCTATCTATTGATATCTAACTTAAGAGCGAACGCTACAGCTCCAAAAGTTTGACTTTTCGAGAAAGCATGAGAAATCAGTTGCCAACTCGTGAGAGCATGAGACAGATCCTTTAATCCTGAGACTCACAACAAAGTCGTGAGACTAGGCAAGTCTGAATATGTCACGGGTTTTTTACGTCCTCTTCCACGGATGCGCAAGGATGAAGGAACAAGGCCAACGTCTATGTCCCCTGCTCTTTTTAAACAATATGTCACGGGTTGTTTACGTCCCTGCAAGGATAAAAGGAACAAGGTCAGAGGCTTAATGAGGCCGCTGTTGTGTTCAGCTGGAAATGGGCCTCTTTGATGAAATTCTCAAAAAGGGTTTAAGTGTTACTGTCACTGACAAAGTCAAGGTCATACATTATCTCATCTTGAGTAATCTGTTATATTGATCATGTGATGTAAATGAAGCTATAAGATCCTTCAGATTACTTCAATGTAAAATCAGTTCCCCTGTAGGACAACATTTAACTATAACCTCAAAATATTCTTTGAACACATTGCCATCAACATAAACTCCCCTCAATCAATAGGGTTTTTGTGACTTCTAGTAATGGTGATAATCTACTGAGGTGGCACTGTGATTAGTCCACCCAAAGAAGGTGTAAACTGTTGATCATATGATTTCAAAGCGTCTCCTCCCAATTCTCAGGACAGCTTCCCAGTTCCTCTGCCAAAACTTTGCTCGCTCTAAATAATAATCAATCCTGCCGGCTACCTTCAAAAGGAGGCTTATTAAACTAGTATCCACTGGAAAGAGAGGAGAAGTCGTTAAGTCATGTTGCCATGGTAGCAAAGTTTTTGAATGACAACAAATCAAAACGACACTTAAAAAGTGGATTCAACTCTTTCAACTTTATCGATCTTATTTTAAATTTTTGTGAAATGTTGGCTAAATTTGCTGGGTTGAATGCGAAAGGATTATCTCTGAGTTTAGAACAAGAAAATATTTGTGTTGTGCTTACCTACTCCATAAAGCGGGCAAGTGAGGTTGTTCTTTTGCCAATCTAAACCAGTATTGCTTGTTTGCTGTTCCCCGTCGCCGTTGCAAAAACTCCCTCTTGTTGTGATCCAGAAATTTTGTTACCATGGTAACGTGACGTCACACTTCTCCTCTTTATTGGTATTCCCAATGAAGATCCCAGGGGAATTTGACCCTTTATCTTCTCATAGGCCGCATCTGGGGATTATGGCATGACCCGCTTTGGGAAAACAGGGAAACCAGCTGGTTTACAGAATTTTGCGTTTTTCAGGCTAGCAAAGACGAAACTGGAGCGGGCGAAGGACGCGAGAGTCGAGACAAACTCGAAGCAACACCCGCCCCGCGTTTTTCTTTGCTCGCCTTAAAAAAAAGCGAAAAAATAATCTTGTTCTGCAGGCTAGCGTGGCAAGGCAAGTGTTACCGAAACGGAGAAGTGAATTCGGGAGCGCGAGAACGTGAAGAAGGTCTCAAGTTCTTGCATTTTTATACATTACCTAGGCCGGTATATTAGAAGTCGTCCACTCGTAGGTCATTCGTACTCCATCCGACTGTTTCCGACCTTTATTCCCGACAAACTTTGTTCGGTCCAGGGGCCCGTTTCTCGAAAGTCCCGGTAACTTTACGGGCCCGAAATCAAATATTCAAATCGAAATGTAAAGAATAAAAGCGCGGGTCCTGGCTAGTAAACTACTCCATTTTGTTTCATTAACTGACAGTTTTATCGTGTTAGATGCAAAACCATTGAAACCTCGATCTTTAATGCAAACGGAGACAGCTTACCGGGCCCGTTAATTATCGGGACTTTCGAGAAACGGGCCCCAGTCCCCAATGTTCCCGGAATGTGTTCCAAATCAAAGCCTATCACTTCCGGCAACATGGCCGACCTGACTGAACCTATGACAGCAGATCCTGCAAAACATCGTGAAGACCTGCTTGAACGTCTCGATGCTCTGAGAAGAAAGGAAACCTTTTGCGATGTGACAGTTGCAGTGAACGGCAAGGAATTCAAAGCTTACAAAGTCATTCTAGCTGCAGCCAGTCCGTTCTTCCTTTCGCTTTTGGAAAGCGACATGAGAGAAAGAAAAGAACAACTGATCGAAATCAAGCTTGAAGAGGCGACTGCTTCCGTTATGGAAGACGTGCTACAATACATCTACACTGGAAATGTTTCCGTGACCGAGGAAAGCTGCCACAATTTGATCGCAACAGCGGATTATCTTCTTTTACCTGGATTAAAAACATTGGCTGTTGAATTTTTGAAAGAGAAAGTGACAGTTGAAAATTGTGTCTTCAATTATTACTTTGCTAACAAGTATCATTGTACGGAGCTGACAGAAATCTGTTGCAGCGTGATCAATTTGAATTTCAGTGATGTGCTGAAAACTGATGATTTTTTGAACCTTGACATGAAGCAAGTAATGGAATGGGTGTCTAGTGATGACATAAATGTGGAAGCAGAGGAAGAGGTATTCACGGGAATTGTAGAGTGGGTGTCTCACAACAGAAGCGAGAGAGAAAGCTGTTTTCCTGATTTGATTCGCCAGGTCCGCCTAAGACCTTCATCACAAGACATTCTACTAAAGAAACTTGTAAATGAAGACCTTGTTACTACGAATATCGAATGCATGAACTTTGTCTTAAGATCCCTAGTTAACTCAGACAAAAATCTTTCCAAAGCACCAAGAAATTGTTTGAAGGTGAAAGTTGAAGGAATTTTTGTGTGTGGTGGCAGGAATGCCTTGTGTTACATCCCCTGTGTAGACGAGTGGTATCAGATGGCAAACATGACCTTTGAGCATCAAAACCATGCTGCCATACAATACAAGGATAAAGTATACATCTTTAGTAAACAAAAGTGTGTGGATGGCCACTTACGTGTAGCAGAATACTATATTTCTTCCACAAATTGGTGGGGCTCAATTCAAACAAACTTTGAGTACGATGAACAGTTTTCTACTTTGGCAATACTGAATGGTTACTCATCCTTATACGCTCTAACCAATTCTGAACAAGTTCCGGAAAACACCATATTCACATATGCTCCTGATATGAACAAATGGGAAATAAAAGGAGACGAGAGCTTTAGAAGTCGATGGGGAGCTTGTGGAGTGGCACATGGACAATACCTTTACATTATAGGTGGCACTACCAGAAGTAATACCACAGCAACTGGATTAACTAAAGTGGAAAGGTTTGATCCAGGTTTTGTGATTTTGGAAGAGGTCACATCTTTGAATGAGGCACGGCATGATGCATTTGGAGCAGCCATGAATGACAGGATATATGTTGCAGGTGGAATTCAAATGAGAGAACAGAGAAGTATACTGCTGAATACATGTGAGGTGTACAATCCAACAACCAATGAATGGCATCGGATGGGAAACCTCTGCGTACCACGTCGTTCTGCAAGCATGGTGTGCTTCAGCGGAGCTATGTATGTCATTGGTGGCTTAAAGAGTACTGCCAAGCATTATACAATGAGAGAGTTGTCAGTTGAAATGTTTGATTCTGAAACAAATGAATGGAAGGAAAAAACCACCATACCTGTTGCCAATGAAAATGGAGAAGAAAGGAGGAAGCAAATACACTACAAAGCTTGTATTGCATCAGTTCACAAAGATGTTTTAGAGAAGTGCATTTAACCCATGATGGATAAACATGTCAGCCCTGTCCCCAATTCAGTTCTACTATGTGAGTAAGTGGAAGATGCTTCAAACAGAATGTAATAGCCAATCCTGCTGACAATCCTGACAGGAGCATCACATCCAAACTGGTCACATGCAATGAGGATTGCGGAAATTATACATTTGTAAATGTAAAGAAAGGGGAAATAAATTTCTTATATGCCATATTCTTACTAATTATCACCAGTTTCATCATCTTGATTTTTGCAAAGTAAAATGCAAGCAAAAAGCTGTTCCAAATACAGAGATCAATTTTATTAACCTTGACTCCAGAGGCCCATTCTTGAAGTACCTAGGACGAAATAAACCATACTCACAGCTTGATAAATCTCCCAAAAAGGACTTCTGGTCACAAAAGCAAGCAACCTTATTTCCATGCGAGAAATCAGTTCAGAATCTGAACTGGGTCACCGACTGGTTACTCCCATGTCTGCAGGGAATTAACTATGTAACAGCAAACGTGATTGGCGTCATCAAAAAAGAACTTCAACCCATGAGACTGAAAACTGGTTTTGATGTTCTTAACAAACAATTCAGATAGAGCTTCCTGTGTTTTTTAGAAGTGTGGCTCAGCAATCTCTGGTTCAACTTCGAATTTGCAAAGTTTTTCTGACAACTGAATCTAAGTTGCTTGAGGAAGAGACTTTGTTTTGATTTATCCAATGAAAGGACATACTTTGAATGAATGTGATGATTTCCTATCCTGCTTTGTCATGCTGCTCTCAGTTCTACAGTGTTGTTTGCACAATGTTAGATTCTCATGGATAGTACCCTGGGTGCCAGGGTTTTGTCTTTTTTCTCCTAATTTCTGATAGTTCGTGGTGCTGTTTATTTGCTACAAAATCAGCAACTAATAATCTTTTGTTTTGCTTAGCCATTCTGTCTGGCAATATTTAGTTTGACCTGTTACAGTGATAATTGCATCATGGACCGGAAATACATGTCATCCTGCGTGTTGGCTTCTAAAAGCAGCTAGTTACAGAGTGTGTTCTTCTGTCCTTTTTATATGGTTGAAACATAAATTGTGTTTTTTTTGCAAAGGAATATGTGACAATTTTAATAGCATTTTCCTCCCTAAGTGAACTTTCAGGCAATTCTATTTTCATGCATCGCAGAGGCAGAGCCACATACGATCAAATCTCAGCTGTCGGAGTCAATGGAAACAAACATGCATACCAGCTCCAAACTGGTTTGGTGAGTTATATGACCCTAAATTTGCATGGAAATGAAACTTGTAACTCCTGTGACCAGAGGTTTTTCTTCTCTCAACACTTCGAGAGAAAATTAGGAAAGAAAAAAAACCTCTGGCACCCAGGGTATATTTTAATTGGAAAAAAGAGGTGTACAACTAACAGCATATTTTTGTTTTCTGGTCTCCAAAAATTATGCAGACACTGTTGATATGGCAGTTTTTCATTTTATTTTAGTTAGGAGGATAAGTATTCTTTAGGGTAACAGTTCAACTAGTTAGTAATTGGCTATTTTATTCCAGATAATTTAGCAAACCCGCTGTCGGATTCAGATCTTTAAGTTGGTGGGGAACCCGCTCATCCAAAAGGGCCTGGCCTGGAAAGTAATAGCTTAAGAATGGCCCCTCCACTAGACCTGCGACTAAAATGACATGCTCAAAAGATTGCTAATCTTTGCCTGCGATCATGTTGTAAGTTCTTACAATGTACTTAACTAGATCCACGTTGTTGGAAAGTTTATAAATCCTATCCATTGGACAAATTACTATCCAGTGGAAATTGTTAGAGTACATGATTGCATTATCTACCAGATAGACTTTTATCCAGTGGAAAAAAATATCCTCCTTTGATTCTTTCATTTTGCTTTCAAATACTCAAGGCTGGAAAGGAATCAAATTGGAGATCAGAAATTGTTCATTTAGTTAGGGATGTATGTAGTATGGTGGGTTTTTAAATATAGGATGCATATGATGAATAGCCATATTTTTCTGGATATTAGAAGCAATATTTTTGTGCCAATATTGATGAAAGGTTTGCTTTTACGCATCATTGAGTACTAAAGTATTTAAAAAAGCATTCACGAATATGCCATTCGCCAGCCTTTCTTGTGAAAATTTGTCATACTTACGTGCGAATAAAAATTCATTCTCATATTATGCAGGATCCTTGTTTCTACACAGAGGCATGCAGCAACTTGGAAATGGTCTGATGTGCTCAACAACGTACTTGGTTTAGGTGTTTCATTTAAGCAGTTTTTAGCTTAAATTAAAGACGTGGTATAGGCAAATACCAAGAGTCAGCTCTCTGAAAATCGAAAGTGAGCCTTTTTTATTATTTTAGGAAAATTCTACCATTATATAATATTTCTCATTCCTTTTTTAATAGCAGCTTCCCGTGATTTTAAACATTAAGTTACGTTAGTATAATCATTTAATCTTTTTCTACTCCATATCTATGAGCTAAAAAGTGAGCACCTGACATGAAAAACACTACGACTTGGATTTTAAGCTAAAATAGTTAGAATCGAACAGCTAGAATATGGTTACAATGCATCTGTAAAAAAAACCATCACTGTTTTCTCTTAGAAATCAAGAAAAAAGTAGTTTTCCTAACTAAATATTGTGTTCTTTGTTGTTGTTAAGCTACGGAAAAACGGGCAACAAAAAGTTGCAACCTGTTTTGCAACATTGTTACAAAACGAGTTGAAAAGTGATGTTGCTAATTTTACCACCCACGTTCACACATGTTGCAACGAGTTAGGTTTTTGCAAGTTGCGCGAATACTGATCTTTCATTGGTCAAAAAATTACGCCGAAGTCATGCCATACATAGAAGTTATTCACTTCATTCAGTTAGTCACTTCCTGCAAAACAAGTTTGCCTTGCGCAGGTAAAACAACATGCGCAGATTTTGTTGCAAAACGTATAACTTCTTTCTGCTCTCTGCAACAACCCAGTTTGTTGCAGGACAAAGTTGAC